TCTCAACCCCCATTTAAGATGCTTTACTGTAAGTGTCCAAAATAAACGCCCACAGACTGTTCACAGCTCCCAGTCCCAGGACGTTGGGTTTGCCAGACCCTGACTCTCCTCAGGCCCCTGTTCGGGGACTGCATTCCGAGGCTGGTGGGGGAGAGCAAGACGTCAGAGCTGGGATGGGAGTCCTGTACTTACAGAGACCCGTGGGGACTTCTCGGACCCAGAGACCGGGCAGGGCTTAGCCTTCCTTGCAGGGAGTGGAGAAGGGGCCTGGCTCAGGTACCCAGAGGCTGGGAAGAGGTGCTTCTGCTGCCTTCAGAGGAGCCCAGGCTGTGCTAAGGACATTCCCAGGAAAGGAAGCCTCCACTGAAGGACTGAACAAAAGGGGCACATGGCACTTTGAAGAACATTCCAGAAATTTACTGGCTACAGACAAGGGTGGTGGTGAGGGGACCATCCTAAACAGAGTAAATGCAGAAGTTACTGTACAGAAAGGAACACGAAGAACAGGTACACTCTCCCACCCCGTCCCTTCTCCCCACAAACACCACACAGAGCGACAATGTCAGGAAAGCAAAGATGAAAAGAAAATAATGTGTCAACTGAATAAAGCAAAGAACTCTCCACTGTGTTTCTAATAAAAGTTACTAATCGAGTGAGAAAAGACTGTACTTAGCTTCCTTCATCTTTGTAAAAGGCACATTTGAAATTCCTGACGGAAACATACCTGGGAGGTAATAGCACTGAGGTCGGCTGAGGCCGCCTGGCTCTCCAAAACGGAATTCCAGTTACAGTTACTGCTCTCTCGGGTGACTCCCCCCTCGCTGTCATTTCCACGCCCGCAGACACAGCCCATCAGGGTGATCCAATTTAGCAGGAGAGCTAACTCCTGAGCCACGCCTGCCCCCAGAGGCAAGCCAGCAGAAGGCAGCGGGATAAAACCAAGACATGCTCATTCTAAGAATTTATTTGAAATTGCCATTTAACTTGTGTCCTGTATTTTTACTTGCTCAATCTGGCCCAGATGAAGGGGCCTTACCTACATGCCTTGCAGCCCTGGATGTCACCTGAGAGCCTGTCTAGGCCAATCTGCTGGGGCCACCAAAGGGACTGGGGTTTGTCTGTTTCTCTGTTAGAAGCCTCCTCTGGGATCACTGGGTCCCCTACTTCCTGCTCTGAGGCAAACTCTTTTTCCCTCCCTATTCCCAAGAAAAAGATTCTCAAGGACCCCAAGAACAGAGGCCACCCATGCAATGCTGGGCTTCTGCCAGCCTCCCTGCACCCCCCCCCCCCCTGGCCTTTATTGTTTACAGTAAATCACATTTCCATCCCCTTCCTGTTTCCTTGCAGATTGTGCAGCTCTGTAAGCTGTCTTCTTTGAAGGACCCACCGTTTTATCTGACCCCGGGAGACACTCCTCTGCCTTCCTTCACAGTGGCTTTCCAAAGGTCCTCTTAAGGACCCCAAGCTGAAACTGAGTCTGAACAGAGGATGTGGGGTGGCGGCTGGCATAGGAGGCCAAAGCAAAGCATCTGCTCATTCAGTCACTTGCTGAGCATCCATTGTGGGCTAGATGCCTGGGGCAGGGCACACAAAAGCTATTCCAAAAATCAAAATATCAAAGTTAGGACAGAAAATTCTCTTTTCCTGCTTTAGCAACTTAGCACCACCAGTATTTCCACTTAGGTGATCCTGGCAAAAAGAGGACTAGAGGAAAGAGTCGCCCCCCCCCTTTTTTTTTTTTACTTAACAACTCTGGGATGAAGACTTACTACCTGGCTATCTCCAGCTACATACATGCACGGCTCGGCACATGCAGTGGCTTTATTGCGGCTGAACTGATACACTAACACACGGGGCTTGGTCAGCGAGGCCTGGATGACCGCCGATCACAACAGTTAGGTGCATAGCAAGGCAAGGAAAAGAGCAGATTATTTGAAATTTCTTTTCAAAATGTTTGTTGGTGGTTTTCACCCTTTTCCTTCCAACCTTTGCAGTAAGAAACAAGTGGCAAAAAGAGAGGTTCTCTTCCCGCCCTCCCCATCTGTGCGGTACTAATGTACTATGAAACTGTCAGAAGATAGGCTGGGGGCTATGACTTCTGAATTCAGCCTAGAATGGGGGACTCTCAGGACCTCAAAAACAACCTCATCTTGCTGACTTCTTCCTGATATTCCTGAAATGCAGGTGTAAAAACCATATTTACTGATGTAAAATGAACACCTTGAATGCCATAAATTGTACATGTCCATTAAAAATGTTATATGTAACACCTCCCAGTTTGCTGGACACAGGGCTCAATCAATTTCTGTGGCTGACTGAGGCTGAGAGTCCAGTCAGTGTGGGCCTGCCAGCACCAGGCTGGGGGTTAGGCAGCATTCGGCAGTCACTTCCTGAGTGGCATGCTAGAAATTTGGCAGTGATAGAACTACCTAATAAGTTAGACAAAGGTTCTAATGCCTAACAAAGAAATAAGGATTGTGGAATTCAGTCTAAAGCAGCAGGACATTGGCGCATCACGTAATTGCTAAATTTAGTATGAAGGGTTTGATCAGGAGTTTGCTCAAATAGAGCAGGCAGGAGTGGGAATGCAGAGCAAATAGTCCCGTTTTAAAAAAATCAGCAAATGCTGGATACTGTGGGTAGGAGTAGAGAGCACTGTGCTTAAAGTAACCTAAGCCCTAGAATTTAAATGATGCATCAAAGGAATAACCACTGTGGCTGCCGTATTGCCGGTGAAGTCTCTAATTAGACTGTATGTTCTTGGAGGGCACGGGCAGGGCCTGCATCCTGGCCCCAGTGGGAACGGGCACCTTCTGCTCTTTGAATGACGAAACTGAAGGACCAGCTCTGAAAGCACTCACTCAAGTTTTTCCTTTGAAGTTAGGCAGCCAGAGTTGTTTAAAAAAAAAAAGAAAAATCAAAGGAACAGATTCCTCGAAATCAAATTTCGAGGCCTTTGAAAAGGACACAGCTCGAGTCAGTACCTCCCTTTCGCTGTCTTGGTGAGTTTATGAGCCACCCTGAGGCTGGCATGAACCCTGTGTCTCTAAGTGCCCAATTCTGTTGGACAGATGGACTCATCCCTGGAAGATGAGACACTCAGTGCCAGTCTCGGCCTCTCTGGGTGAAAGGTAACATCATGGACCAATGTCAGAGGACAAGATTTAGTTCCCCAAACAAGTGAGGTGAGGATGGTTCTGAAGCTAATAACCTGTCGCTGAATCATGATCTGGGGCAGTGTCGCCACGGGGACACAGGAACCTGCCTCTCCTAGTGTCTAGACTCAGTAGGCCCTGCTTTACCACAGAGCCAGCCAACAGACAGGTCAAGCACTGGGACTTGCTCAGTGAACCTGGCCCTTCCGGCATGAATTGTTATCTTATTTCTCCTACAGTTGTCCCTCTCTGGGCAAGTCCTCAAATGCTAATCAGGGATGGCTTTCCTCTCAACCCCACAGTTCCCCATCAGGGCAGCTCAGGGTATGGTGGCTTTTCTTTCCCTTCGACTTTGTCTCATCTACTGCTCAAAGCACCTCATCCCCTATGCAGAACTCGCATGCTGTTCACCTCTTTGGAGCTGGCTGAACTACATGATGCAAGGAAAGGGAAACACACGATGAATCTTCCTGTTCAGAATGACGAGCAAGAGGCAAGCCAGGGAGCAAATGCATCTTCAAACAACGTGAGCCATCTCTCGTTTAGAGCACTGTTACATTTCTATCTACAAATAAGACCTAATATTAAAAAGACAAAGCATTAATGAAGCTTTGCTTCATTACTTTCACAAAGCTTTGCTTCATTAATTTCATAAAGCATCACACTTTATGAAAAATTCAGAGTACCGTTGTTTTTTAGAGCACTGTTAAAGTAAATCATTTGACTTGCTTAAAATATCAGTCAGTACAAACAGGGTATGATTGGTCCAGTTAAGGTCCCTGCCGGGTTCATCTTCCGAGATTTTCTTAGCAAAGCTCAGTGACAGGGGAGAGCTCCCGGGGTGATGGGACTGAAGGAGGAAGACAGAAGCAGTCCCTGCTGACCCTGAGGCTCACCCATGATGGACAGATGGAATCCAACAGACGAACAGCAGACAGTCCCATGGTCTCATTATCTATGTTAGTTTTTCCCAAAGGAAAGCTAACAATTATTTTAATCACCAGAGGATGCCAAGGGTCACCATGCCCTGGGACAAGAGAGAGATGTCTCCCTAGAAGCAAAGAGCATCTCTGGAGACTCCAGGGATCTTGGAAGGCAGCTATGCTCACCACTATACTACCAACGCTCGACTCCAGGGATCTTAACATCCTCTTGGGAGAGTACGTCTCAGACACAGTCCATAAAACCAGTGGAGCCAACCACTGCCTAATCTCTTGCAGCCCCAGCTGGCCATTCAGGAACAGGCACTCACCCTCATTTCCTCTCCAGTCCAGTCCAGGCCTTCAGGACTGGTGGCAGGAGAAAGAGCCAATAACGAGGGACAACCTCTGCTCAGGGACCACATACCCGCAGTGCCGATGCCCAGTGGTGTCAGACACTCAGAATGTGACTCGTGAATTTGCCCAGACAATCGGCTTCATTGTCCGAGCAGAGGCACTGAGCACCAGAGAAGGGAATAAGGGGCTCACAGTCCTCTTGAGAGGGGAGCGAACAAGGTCAGGTGGCACCTCTCACTGGGCAGCTGCAGCAGGGAGGGCTGCCCTTCCTCTGCCCAAGCTGGGCACCTACAACATCTGTTTGGAAGGCTATCTTTTTCTAAGCCTATGTTTCCACCTCCAGCGAGAGAGAACAGCACACTAACTGATCCTGGGATCAGAGCGAATGATCTGGAGGATGGTCTTAGACACCTGACCTCAAGGCACACCAGAGAAGAAAGGGGACACGAAGTGCCTGATATTTCATACACCCAAGGCTGAGGCTGGCTTTCACAGTAAAATAAAAAGTGAAAAACAAACCTTGGCTCTGCTATATGAAATTAAATAAAACTAACTGCCAAAGCCTTCATTTCCTTGCTCATGTTGGGTAAACTTTTAATCATTTAAGGTCAACTTTAACCAAATCACAGATGCCTATGTAAGTCTGTCATTCTCTGGCCCAAGCACTACTGAAGACATTTCCTCCCGCACAAATAAAAATTTAAACAAAATTTAAAAGAAAAAAGAAAAAAGAAAATAAAAGAATGTGAAAAGAAATACAAATCAAAGAAATTTATTGGTGTTGACAAAAATACATAATACAAAAAAACAAAACACAACGCAACAGAAACAAAACCAGGAACCCCACCCGGCAGGCCCACGCGCCCGAGGTACTGACAGCGTGCAGTCCCGGGAGCCCCTCAGGGCATCGCACTAGTTCATGAGGACCTCCATCTGCACCAGCCTTGCATTGGTGTCCCCAGACGTCCGGTAGGGTATCATCCCGGCAAAGGTAATCAGGGCTCGGGCTTGACTTCGGAGTTGCTGAGAGAAAGGGGAAGAGAGGAGAGCTAGTTAACTTTTCAGCTGGGGGCGCTGTGCCAGAACCACCACGAGGGTCTTCCATTTTCTACTCCTAGGTGCCAGGAGCAGATTCCTGGGGGTGGGTGACAGCCATGTTCCTCCGGCATGTACAGGGTTAGCACAGCCAGTCCACGGGGGCCCCAGCTCCAAAGCCCTCTGACTAAGCAAAAGATAGATGGGTCTGCAAGGCACGCTGCCTTGCCTGACACCTGTGACCAGCCCTGGCTGGTTCTGTCCACTGCTTCCCTGGGGACCAGCAACAACAGAGATAGTGGCTGTCACTGAGTGTAGCCCCAGGCCAGTTCTCTCCCGCTTCTTCCCGTTCCCTTCTTTCCATTCCTGCTACTCTTCCTTCCTGTCATAAGTGCTTGGCCCTCATTTCCCATGCAACAACATTACAGGATCTCTGGACTGTTCCAGGAGGGAAGGATTTTAACTCAGTTGTTTCTAAAAACATTAAAAGGACAACCACCACTCTGATTTCTAAGTGATCAACTAATTAAGGAATACAGAAACTTTGGACCACAGCTTCATGTGGCCCCAAGTTGAGATGTTTATACCAGCAAGAAAGGAAACCATATCCGAAAGAGAAACGGAGTCTACAAACATCTTTTTCACCAGTAACTAGACTTTTAAGGAAAACTCAAGGTTCATTTACTAGGCTTCTCAATGACCATTAAAGAAGAAAGCTGAAAGGCAAGTGTTTTTACCTGATATGTAAAATAAATTGGCAAGTATATGCCATAACTAATGTCCAAACCAAAGAAAACCTTATGATGAGAATACCTGTTAAATTTACTTTCAAAGTTCATAAAAGTGCATGGGCTCTCATGGTTGACTTGAAGCTACTTTAAATGAGCCCTAGGGGTGTTCGGGCAAAGGGCCCCATCCCCTGGCTGGGCAGCACTGCACATGAACCCTGAAGCCCCTTCTTGTCATATAAGTCTCTCCTTGATCCTACCCATCTCTACCTCTCATTAAAAAAAAAAAAAGAGAGCAATGGGCAAGAGGAAGACAAGAGAATGGTTTTACTCATGATATGCAAAAACTAAGTGCCTAAAAAAAGAGACTAAAACACACAGAATGTGAGTTCTGCCTGCCAGATTACCAGCTCCACTTTGTGGCAAGTCCTCTGCTGACCTGTAAGCAGTACCCAGAGCACCAGCACCACCTGCCTCTTCATTCCTGTACCCACAGCAGCACTGCACTGGTTTCTTTCATCATAAACACAGACTGTGGCCATGGCCCCAGCACAGTGAGCCCACACTGCACACCTCCTGACATTACTTCTGATGCCGTGTAGGCTCTCGCCATCCAAGAGCAGAGGCAGGCCAGCAGCTGCCTCTGGTGCACACACGATGGCCCACCAGTCAGTGCACCACTCCGAGCACTGCTAAAATCCCACAACCACTCTCTGGTGGTGGCTCAAGGCGAAAATCCCACCACCACTCTCTGGGCAGGTCTGTCAATGACAGTGCCTGTGGGAGTCATAGCAGACAGAGCCCAGATATCCCTGGAGAGGCAGAAGATAGGGTCTTCAAAGTTCTAGCTTCTTGACTGCCAAAATCAGGCATGGCTATTATACACCATACTGAGAGTCTCATCAAACATTAGAGAAGTTAAGGAAAAGGTAATATTAAAACACTAACAGTATTAATGGTTTAACTGGGTCAAATGCCTCTGCCCTTTTGTCAAATACACTGGACAGTACACGCTGTGTGAGTCCCAGGATTCTATCAACCTGGACGCTGCCTGACCGGCTTCATGCTGCAGCCCCACAGCAGCGGAAAGACTGGCCCGGGTGTCAGACTGATGTGGCTTCCAGACATGGCTCCTTCCCTACCTCCTGAGGGCCCACAAGCAAGTTGCTTCCTGACTCCAGGCCTCAGTTCCCTCTGCTGTGTAATGGGGATAACAGTGACTACTCTCAGCTCTGGAGTCACTGGGAGGCTGGTGAGAGCAGAAACGTGGGTTGAGTCAAATGAATGTGCTGACCAAAAGTACGGTTTTGATGAAAGCGCTGAGCTGAGACTCACAAAATAACCTTATATATTAAAATGCAGGAAATTATTGTGCAATCACTATAAAAAAGCATTCTGTTTTGAATTTTTTAAAAGGTGATATTTGAAGCTTGCCAAAATAGCTCAATTGGGAGAGCATTAGACTGAAAAGGTGATATTCGCAGACTTGGCACGTCTTTTTTTGTTATTGTTGTTGTGTTTTTAGCTTGAAAAGAATAAACAGTAATCCCACTGATGTGTGATTCCTTCTGGGAGCTTCCTGACATAGGTTACCCAGCTGCCAGGCAGTATGGGAAAGAGCAGTCTGGGATCATGAGCATCGTCTCATGAGGCGCATTAGATGGCAAACCAGAAAGGTGCTTCTCAGCGATGGTTCTGGCCGACGCTGGGATCTTACAGAGTCACGATCCTCGATGACTCGCTGGGGCCTGGATGCTGAGGAAGGACTCGTTCCCTTTAACCTCTTAAACTGTGTGAATAAGATGTTCATGGTGGCGAGAAGCACTTCTGAGAGGTTGTGCCTGATCTGCACAGAGAGAAACACATGAAGTTAGGAAAAAGAACCAAGTGTAGGGCCGACGTCAAAAGCAGGGGCCTCCAGGCAGGCCTGGTCACACCACATGCCCACACCTGCCAGGCGCAGAGCTACACAGTCACCCAAAGTAGCTGATGGCACTGAAATGTCAAGTATGAGAGCAAAGCCCAGGCAGCGCTGCTCTTCTGCTGCCTCCTTCGTGCCATTCCTCCCGGCAGGAGCAGCGAGCCAAAGGCAGGTGGACCACACCTGACCAGCGCATAGGCTTGGACTGCCGGCAGTGATTACCAAGAAAAGCATGGATTTGAATATCAGAAGGTGGGATACTCCTGTCTCAGACCCACCAGATTGTCTCCCCTGGACCCTCACAACCCTAGCAGAGCCCTTGGGAGTGTCTACAGGGAGAGGTGCTGGTGCACTACTTCATCCACAACGCAATGAATGATACATCCAGAGAAGGCAAGAAACAAAAGACCAAGTGGCTCGGGCGAAATGACAGTGGGTATGAAGGGAAGGAAACCTGGTGAGTGGCGAGACTTTCTGAGCTATGTGAACCACAGCAGGCAACCACCCACCACGTGTACAGAAGCTGGCCTTCCTTCCTCCTCTAAAACAGAAACATGTTTTTTATAAAAGGTACTTGTTAACGAGTAACAATTTTATTTTTTTTGGTACGTGCTCCTAGTGGGAACCGAACCCGGGACTCTCTGGTCCACAGGCCGACACTCCAACTGGTGAGCAAAACCGGCTGGAGCTGAGTAACAATTTTAAATTGAAACGTGATTAGTGACATCCCAGGACAGGCAGCTGGTCCTGAGTGTCTGTGGTTCTAGAGAAGACTCCTACCCTGCTGCATGTGAAATGGACAGGAGAGTTCGGGGCCAAAGCCCGGATCAGGGGAGCCAGAGGTTTTAGGCATAGGTCCCGAGCATGAAGACATTTTTATTTAAAAAAAATTTTTTTAATCCTCACCCAAGGACATTTTCACATTCATCTTCAGATAGAGCAGGAGGGAGGGAGAAAGGATGGGAGAGAGAGAAACATCGATGTGAGAGAAGACACATTGACTGGTTGCTACCCACACAACCCCAATCAGGGCCAGGGATGAACCGCAACAGAGGTATGTGCCCTTAGCAGGAACTGAACCCGGGTCTCTCTGGTCCGCGGGCCGACACTCTAACCGTTAAGCCAAACCAGCCAGGACATGAAGACTTTTTAAAGCTCTCCTAGTAATTCCAGTGTGCAGATGAGCCGACTGTCCTTGGGCTACTTGGCAGCAACGCTGCAGAGACATTGGCTCTGTGGCTCAGAGGCTGGCAACTGGTCCATTTGTTGCCAGCACTTGCTTCTCAAGACAAAACAATCCAGAGAGGGGAAGGGAGGAAGTGAATTGTGATACATGTTTAAGCACCCAATGGAACTTCTTAGAGAAGATGACAGTTAAGCACTAACATCTTCTAGAACGAGTAGATAATAAAGAATTAAAACCGACCTCACAGGTTCAACCAGAGTCCTGTTTTCCCCAAGAATATGTCTGATCACTGAAACAACTATATTTTCTGAGTCAGAAATTCAGATAATAATGTGATGGCGACATGTGTACTCCCAGAATAACCAATCCAGGATACTGGAAAGAGAACTCGACTCAGAAAACTCAGTCTGGATGGTACTGTACTATGACTCTTGAAGTTATTAGCTACATTAAAACAAAAGCTTTCAATGGAAGTGGGGAAAAAGAATTCCATGGCTTAGGAAGAAAAAGACTCACTTCATCACTGAAATTTCTGAAGGCGGCCACTCTCTCTTCCACACTTTCCTGATTCAGGGGCACCAGCTTCAAGCGATCAATTATCTGTTTAAAAGAAAAACCCATCAGCACACATGATACAAGCATCACAGTCATTTCCTCTCCTTAAACAGTCAGCACCTAACAAGTTCACAAAGGGTTTCTTAACAGAAAACACCACCTCCCCTCACACACACAAAGGTTTTGATTCCAACTAACTTAATTCCTATCCTCATTTTCTGAGGCCATTTTAAAACTCAAGAGATTTCAAATTACTTTGAGAAACCTGTTTTCAGACTAAAGTGGAAAGGAATAGAAAAAAGAAAAAAAAAGTTAACAGATATCCCCTTTAAATTTCTGGTTTCATACTTGTCCTTCTTCATGTAACAGGCATACTGGTAACATTTTTGTTTTAAAGGACGCCCATGAAGTGTTCTGAATTTTTCAAGGGCATACATTAATCTGCACTTCAAACACCCCTCCTGACACTCACATCAAAGGCTCTGTCAATATGACCACTGTGATATTCATCAAAAAAGGTAATCAAGTCCAACAGAAGATAGAACGTGGAATCCACAAATTTATTTGCACTGATTCCCTGAGCCCTGTACCTGAAAGACAAAAGACAGGGAAAGGGTCAGGGGCATATTATGAATTTCTGTGCAATCTGGAACTTTAGGATAGCATTTGAGAAATGTCAAAACCTCTTGAACTCTCCACATGAAATGAATTAAGGAGTAGAAAATAGTGTTTCATTTGAAATGACCGAGCTTTTGATGGTGAATTTGATATGAATCCTTCTACAGGTATTTTGCACAAAGCAATGTTCTCTAGTCTCAGCCACCAACTCAGCATCTAAATATCCAGAAAGGATGGAAGGTCCTGGTGGGCTGAAAGCCCAGCAGCCACCACTGGGGATTGTTTTTTAAGTACAGATTATTTTATTTGCCAGAGAATGTCCTTTTGTGCGGCCCCAGGAAAGCACCTCCAGCTCTGTTTTCTCTGGGGCACTTTATCAGGAGCATCTGCAGAGGGCACAAAAAGTAATGGCTGTGGCCTCAGCCTGGAAATTAGACTGATTAATCTGATAACTCAGTTAGCTCACATAAAGGAAGGTGGATTCTAAAACACTGGCCACTACCCTTCAAGAATTACCCCATCCAGACATCACTAGCTTTGTTCCCAAATATGTTCCAACAATCAACTTGTTGAGATGGCTGAGAACAGTAGAGAGGTGAACACAATGCCTACAATTAAACCTAATGTGCAGGATTCAAATGCTGAGATACCTATTCATACCTTTCTTTTTGGGAAATAATATTAAGTCTGCTGTTACCAAGTGCTGGTGCTGGTGCAGGAAAGAGGAGCCCTGAGGCTGGTGGGATGGTGAGTCAGTGGGGCTACTGTTACTAGTAAAGCTGAAGAAGACGCGTTTGGTGGGCAATGGGGGTCTGGCCTTGGCGCCTGCGTCCGACCTTACCGTTCCGCGATGGACAGGGCCATGTTCTTCAGCCTCTCCTTGTTGGACTGTGGGGCGCTGATCTGGGGGACGACTGGGCTGAGCAGTTTGTTCATCAGTTCCAGCACCTTGTCAGCATTCTGTTTGATATTATAAATTAATGAAGGAGTCAAATAATCAGTAAAAGGAGAAACTAAATAACCCAACAAAACAGGAGACTTTCTAAGGTGATGGGTGGAAACACTCTGTGTCTTTTTTTTCCCTCCCTTTATTGATGTTAGAGAGAGAGGAAGGGAGAGGGAGAGAGAGAGGAAGGGAGAGGGAGAGAGAGGTAGAAACATCACTGAGAGAGAACATGGATTGGCCGCCTCCCGCATGTCTCCACTGGGGACCGGGCCCATAACCTGGGCATGTGCCCTGACCGGGAATCAAACTGGTGACCTCTTGATGCGTGGGTCGATACTCTATAACTTGATCTGGGGGGGTGGTTATATCTACAGAACACTCTTCAAGCTGTACACTTAATATCTGCATGTTCTACATCTTAATTAAATCTCAATAAAAACATTTTTAAATTTAAAAAATGAAGTTTAACCCTCTTTTTGTCCACTCTTCTCAGTTGATAAAAGGGGAGAATGTAATCTTTTTAAGGCTGCGGTCAGCAGCAGCTGTCGTATGTTCTTCGGTAGAAATGCTTATTCCAGCTCTCGGAATGCCTCAGCTGCCAGCCTATTTCCTGCCATACTCTGATCACTGGCATGTCTGCGGCTGCCCAGAGGGGCAGACCAGGCCTTTTAACCAGCAGCTTCGCCATCAAAATGTGACGGATGCTTATTCAGCTGCCAAGTGAGACTACTGCTCAATGCCCACAGGATATCCTTATAGTATGCCACTGTTGTTTGGCCAGAAACACATCACAGGCAGAAGTAATTCTATAGAACGTGCGCTTGACCCTGACTGGACCACTGACTGCCTAAGCACCAGGGGAAGGTGCCTCAGCAGGGGGAGCACACCACCACAGCATCCCCGGAATGTTTTCATTTAATGCCAAAGGAAATGATCTATGAAGTGCAGGAAGAGGGCACTTTACCTTGGCGAGGTCGTAAAGCTTTGCTGCTTCCTCGAACAGTCCTTTATTTTCGGCCACGTTCGCAACTTTGTTGATAATAGGCTTTGTGTCACTAGTAAACTTATCTATGACTCCAGGCTGACAAGACAAATTATGGACAGGGAGGGAGACAGAGAAAGAGAGATGGGTGCACAGAGCTATTATTTTAAAGTCAGAGCAGCAACTGGGATCTGAAAACTACTTTAACTGAAATGCTTGCCCTGGGCAATGCATATATTTCATTGGCTAGGCTCTGGCTTTCTTGAAAATATAAAGGTTTATTAAACATATGAAAGGGACCAAGGAAACTACATGCAGAGGGAGATGGCAGTTCAGGGGGGGTCAACAGAAAGACTGCGCTTTCTAATCTTCCAAGATGACCCAGATCATGGGTGAAAACATCAATGATTTTAACTTTGCTGATGAGTAGGCACAGGGGGGGGACGGGGGATCAGGAAACTTAGAAAAAATATTTGAGAGATTTTAGATTTGCTTTCTAAGACAGATGGCAAAAGAAACTAAGTACTCAAAATATACACAGAATATTTTTTTAAAAATCACCATCATCACTCAATGGCAACCAAATGGTCAAGAGAGTATGAAAGAGGCCTTAGGAAGAGCTAGGGTGGATGGAATGACATGTGATTGGCTGTTTTGATTCTCCATCAACACTGGACCAAATCAGGGGACCTGCATCTGCCACCCTAGAGGCAGCATAGACCAGTGAAGAGCAGGAGCTCTGGGGTTAAGAAGGACTGGGTTCAAATTTCAGCTCTCCTTCTTTTTTTTTTTTCTTTATTGATTTTAGAGAGAGAGGAAGGGAGAGGGAGAGAGAAATAGAAACACTGATGACAGAGAACATCAATTGGCCGCCTTCTGCATGCTCCCCACTAGGGATCGGGCCCACAACCTGGGCATGTGCCCTGACTGGGAATCAAACTGGTGACCTCTTGGTGTATAGGTCGACACTCAACTGTTGAGCTACACTGGCCGGGCTCTCCTTCTTACTATAGCTGTGTGATCTTGAGGAAAACAATTAACCTCTCTTGTCTCCATTTCCTCACTTGAAAACAGATAACAATAATTCCAACTTGTTGAGTTATTGTGGCAATTAGATAAAACAAACAAACATATAATGCATTCAGCACAGTGCCTGGCAATTGTCATTGCTCAGTAAGCATGGCCATTGTCATCAGCACTGTCACTGGCCTCACTTCTAAGCTGGATGGTGTGAACAGTATGAGTTCATCTTGAGATCACTGGGTCCAAGCCACCATTTTTACAAGTGAGAAAAGTGAGTCTCAGAGAGAAGCAAGTGACTTTCTCAAAGCCATAGGAAATGTGCTTGAGTGGGTTCAGGATTGGTCTCTAATGCCAGAGCCTCTATCCCTTCTCCTACACGATTAGTCTCAGGAAATTGCTAAGGCTCATGGAAACAGCTGCATCTCCGGGGTCAGTGTGAAGTTCTGAGCCCTCAGAAACTACCTTGTGAGAGAGGTCAGCATATTTCTAACTTTTCCATCTCGGGAGAGTAGGTTCAGTAATCTATTTATTTTCTTGCATATTTTCTGGGCCAAGAATGATAGAAATGCAGCCTTCTCAGCTCCAAAATCGCAAAAGTTACCTACTCACCAATTTACATATTTCAAGGAGAAACAGAAATGTATGTAAAATCAAGGTCATTATGTGGGACCTGTAATATTCATTCTTTGTGTTTTAAACTGAGCAACTTCATTCATATTTGTATCTTTAGTACCTTGAATCCTAAAACCTAACTGTAATCTTTGGACAATTATAAATCTCCAACTGCAAACTAACACATCTCTAGGGGTGTGTCTAACCCACCTTTCTACTTCCATCATTCTCTAGTTTCCCAAGAATCATGTCAAACTGTGGAGACAAAAAAAAGTTTACACAATTTACTGGACAAGATATACCCATAATCCACAATTCTTTGGGGACAAAAGAAGGGAAGAAAACAAGGGAGGTGGGAGAAGTTTAACATCAACTAGGAAATACACTGAATCAACACTCTCATTGTCAGAAACCAAAGAAAACTCTAAAAATCCCCTAGATCAGCAGTTCTCAACCTGTGGGTCGCAACCCCTTTGGGGGTTGAACACCCCTTTCACAGGGGTCGCCTAAGACATAACAGTAGCAAAATTACAGTTATGAAGAAGCAATGAAAATAATTTTATGGTTGGGGGTCATCACAACATGAGGAACGGTATTAAAGGGTCGCGGCATCAGGAAGGTTGAGAACCACTGCCCTAGGTCATTGACTTTGAATGGTGAACACACAATACAGTATACAGATGATGTGTTGTGGAACTGGGCACCTGAAACCAGTAACTAGTAAAACCCCAATAAATTCAATAAAATATATTAAAGCTTAAAAAAAATTAAAAAAAAAAAAATCCCCTAGGTCATGCCCACCCATATTGAGGGGACATACGGTATTCCGTTAGTATGAGAACACATATACTGACAATCACAGGTGGGAGAAAAAAGAAAATCGACATACCTCTCGACTTTCTATCACAAGCTCACTCACACAGCGTAAAAACATGTTTTCTCCTTGGCTATCTTTCTCGTCCCTGTATGGGGACAAAGGCAACGTGGTTTCTGGTGTAGAGTGGCGGTCAAAACCAGCTGAAGTGAAGGGTCAAAAGCAAGTTTTACCTGAGGAAGTAAAAGTACTGGAGGGCCTCCCTCGGGTCTGTGGACTCGAACTTCCGGGTGTAGAGCATGAGGAGCCGCACAAAGTTTAGCCGCCGCATGCAGGGGGGGTCGCCAGGCTCATGGCTGACTGCACCATGGGGGACAGAAATGGTCACAACCACAATGCTCTTCTGACCCACGCAACCAGGAACTTGGGGGCTGAGTCCAAAGACCCAGCAGCACCTAGTCCTGCAGCCCAGCAAGGTCAGCCACCTTTGGTCAACCCCTTCACCACCCTGTCCTCAATTTCTTTCTAAGCACAGAGTGGAGATAACGGCATTCTGTGGTAAAGTACTAGTATGCTGGTCTTTGAATGAAAATATGGAGACAAATGACCATTATGGGATGTGCTCTGGGTGACTGTGCTGTACTTACTACTAAGGAAGCTGCAGTCACTCACCTACACTCATCTTCTCTCCCTCTTCTGACTCTCCCACCCTCATGCAGGTTGCACATACGATGACTGGCTGCGGTTTCCAATTAGAGCCCAAATGCGAACCAGACTCATGACTCGAGGGACTGCTTCTCCTGCACCATTCTCCAGGCTACCTGACTGGTCACAAAACGACTGCTTGCATGGCACTGTTACCATGATTGGTACCATCTGCCCGCATCCTCATTGGTTACAGGGATGTGTCCATAGCCACCCGATGGGGGATGAGTCATGGTTATGCTACTACCAACAGATACTCACGAAGTTGAGCACTCTGTCCCGAGGACTTTAAAAGCAGCTTCAACTCGAAGAGCACCAGGGCCACGTGGATGGCGTGGCAGCGCAGCCGCTCCATGCGGAAGAGAAAGGCAATGGCCGCCTCGAACTGTGCCGTCAGGAACAGCACTTGGAAGTAGAGGAAGGGCTGCTGGTTCACTGTGAAGTGGGACTCGCCTAGGGGAGGAGACAGAGCCCACTCAGAGGGGTCAGCCCTCTGGCCGCCTAACCCCAGGCAGAAGCCCTGTGTGCTGGTGGGATGGAGGGGCCTTAGATACAGAGAACTGCCACATGAACCTGACCTGGTTCCATAACATTCTCTAGAGCTTACAACACTACTGGCAACTAGGGAGTCACGTTGTAAAATCCAAACTGCATTAGGTGGGAGAGAAACAGAGTTCAGGACCTTGAAACAGAGTACAGAAGGGGCTGTTGATCTCCTTATCCTGATAAAGTCACTCAGTAAGGAGAGGAATAAAGATTTCAAAGGTGCTTAGGTTCAGAATTGCAGATACCTGAATTCAACAACTGCTGACCACTAGTTGGAATCTTTTCCTCCCAGAATTCTTTAAAAAATATTTTTCTTTTTTTCCCTTCCTTTATTGATTTTAGAGAGAGGAAGTGAGAAGGAGAGACAGAAACATCGATGAGAGAGAACATCGATTGGCCGCCTCCTGCACGCTCCCCACTGGGGATCGGGCCCACAACCTGGGCATGTGCCCTGACCGGGAATCAAACTGGCGACCTCTTGGTGCACGGGTCGACACTCAACCACTGAGCCACACTGGCCGGGCTCTTCCCAGCATTCTTAAACAATGTGTGGCGGGAGCTATTTTTCCCTCATTTGTGCTCTGATACATTCATTGTGAGATCTATGAGGAAGCAATAGGCAAGTCCTCTACGTCTCTCCCTGAGCAAATGTCAATCAGAGCAGTTCAAAGAAAACAGTTTACCATAAGTCATATACAGTGCCCAAGGCCACATGACCTCTACTCAAATCTGAATCTCTGTTGTAGTGTGCTGTGTTTCGAAGATCCACAGGGCTGTGAAGGAGACACAGAGCTCAGAAGTGAAGGATTTTCCCAGAGGAAAGGTAAGTAGTGACCTTAGGTCAGTGGTTCTCAACCTTCCTAATGTCGTGACCCTGTAATACAGCTCCTCATGTTGTGGTGACCCCCAACCATAAAAGTATTTTCGTTGCTACTTCATAACTATAATTTTGCTACTGTTATGTCTTAGGCGACCCCTGTGAAAGGCTTGTTCGACCCCCAAAGGGGTCGCGACCCACAGGTTGAGAACCGCTGCCTTAGGTGAACAAGAGGGAAGGTGGTTATGTTCAGGGTATCTTACCATAGTCTTCTAACAGCTGTTTCTGGAACTGTGAGAGAGTAAGTCTGTCTTGTGGGGAGCTGGTGCCATCGTCATCGAAACACACTTGGTTCAACTAAACCCCCAAGAGAAACATGTGCATTAGTACAAAGTATATCCTGAGCCAGGCATGCAGAGGTAGCTGTTCAGCAGCTGTGCTAATGGCTGTGGTTACTGGTTGGGAATTACACAATAAATCCACTAGCCTAGTTGCCTTATTGGTGTCATACAGTAAGCAGGTAAAATCTGTGAGCAGAGGGAACAGGTTAAAGCCTTGTGTAGGCAAGAAAAGCAGCGCCTGCCTTTAGCCACAGGTAGTCCTCAGTTTTGTCAGCCACTTCGCTCTGGTTGTCGGTGACATCGCACCTGCCGATGATACAGTACACGGCCCGCTTGTAGGGGTCTGTGTTGTTCCTGAGGGCCCTGCGGTAATGCAGTCGGAGCTTGTTCTCTGTAGCTGGGGACAATCTAAAGACACAAGGGAACAACAGAAATTAGACTCACTAAAGATCCTTAAGGGCATCTGAAAGCACCCAGCCCCAATGACATAACAGAGTTAGGAAGCCTTCCTTCACGGAGGGCAACAGACACAGTCCTGCCCATTCCCCCTAGGTACCACCACTTTAATCTGATGGCTACCACCAGCACCTCCGTGTCTGCCAGCTTCCCCTAGTAGAGGTTTTCAGGTCAGGTCAGAAAGGCTGGGGAGTTGATACTCCTCCTACTCTCCAGCATCCCTCAAGCAGTGATATATTGACAAGAGTGGATCTTTCCTTTAACTGTCTGGCCTCCTGCTGGGCTCCCCCTCCCTTATCCTTGTGGGATCACATCCCAGATAAACACCTACATGCAAATCCTTGCCTCGGAGTCTCCCACTGAGGGAAACTCAAGGACATTAACCTGCTTGACTCTGATACAATCAGGAACATTGCCAAACAAATTATCCCTACTCTTCATAGGTAATACTAGGTGCTCACGATCATTCTTCTCCATATGTATGTATATTTAAACTAACTTCTAATTCTAGCCTTGAGCTATGGAGAGCATGACCAGAAAAGCAATAAATGTTAATCAGTAAAGTGTAGTACAACAAAGTTTCATTTTATAAGCATCCTGATGTGCCTGGGATTTACAGAATAAGTCAAATCATGTTCCCACCACAGCCTCTCCCACACTGGAACAGAAACTTCCCCAAACACAGATGAGTTTCAGTCTCGACATTAATGTCAGAATGGGGCTCACCTAAGTTTTCAACTCTTATACTCAAGAGACTTCTACTTGTTCTCTAAACTTTATTTTTCCCTAGTAGAAACATATTTTGAGCCATGTGCAGAGAAAAGAGAGTGATGCTTCTGGATGTGCCATCTCTTTCACTGTACCTTCTGTCCTTGCTGTTCATGTATTCCTGGAACCAGGTTTTAAACTCTCCCAGCTGGTGCTGGGCGAGGTTAACCACCTGTGAAGCGGCAAGAAGGTCTCCACAGCGCATGCAGTAATAAATTAATGCCCACACAGGATGGCCTTCCACTTCTCCATCCTAAATGAGGAAACATGCTCAAATAAACACACAAACAAAAGCCCACCGATGGCTTTCTGATATGCTAATCCTCAGCTAAATTCTCTCTTGTATTAAGTCACTTAGTATTCACCACAACCCCATTAGGCAGGGACCATTAATGGCCTCCTCCTCCCTGTTTTACAAATGAAAAAACTGGAGCATGGAAACATTAAGTATCTGTTCAAGGTAAGCTGGCAGCCTAGCTCTGAAGCTTTTCCTCCAAATCACTGTGTGCCCCACCCGATTCAGAGCCAGCCAGTGGTTTCTCCACGGAACCCCAGTAGTCTGCAGAAATCACTTAACATGCTCTTCTGTGACAACTTAGACATGATTTCCTGAAACCCCCCCACAAGGCGAGGGCTAAAGACTGTCACTGACCAATAAAAGACCATCATTATCATTCTCCCATTTATAAAACATTAACTACCAATGATTAACCAAATAGATACTGGCATTTTCATTCATTCTTTTGTTATTCATTCAAACACTTACTGAGTATCTTTGTTTCAGACACTGGGCTGGGTGCTGGGGATCTGAGAAGGCAGTTGTTCCCACTCTCCCAGAACTGGAGTTTATCTACCCTGAATCTGGCTTTGTCATTCATCTGCAGAGCACTACTGTGGTTACTCTTCTCTGCTTTTGCAAAACTCCTTCAGAGAAGTGGACTGCAGACCTCCTTTCTGGCTCCTCTCATCACCTCCTAGGACTCTTTCTAAAACCCAGATCTGATCATGTCTCTGCCCTAAACTCCTTTGAGCTGTTTAAATCTTAGCCTGGCACTAGAGGCCTTCACCAGCTGGCTGCAAGCTTGCCTAGACCTACCACACAGCCAATACTCTACATACTTTTTTCTCCCTCCATGCATTTGTTCATGCTGTTTCCTCCCTGTGGAATACTGTTTTCCAAGGTCTCAGGCTAGTGAGCCCGTTTTTCTAGCACAACATAAACTTCACCTCCTTAATGAAGCCAGCCTCCTATACATCCCCACCACTCGTCAGGCCTTTGCACACAGTATGATAAATGACTGTATTTCCCCAACTGGTTTGTGAGCTGAGAAGAGAGGCCACATCCTAAGAACCCTATCTAACTCCATTCTTCCAGTTATCAGAGCCAACAATCTCAGAAGTCATCCCTGACTGCCTCTCAAACCCACTTCTGGTGCTTCAACAAGTCCAATTGGCTGTACTTTCAAAACAAGTCCGGGACCCAGACACCCGCCTCCCCCACATACTGAGCTGAGCTAGTGACATCATCAGCTGTAATCCTTTCTGTACTACTAGCCTCCCAGCTTCTTTCCTCTCCCCCTCTGTCCCTCTGGTCTCTTTTCTACACAGCAGTTTCTACACATAACCTCATTTAAACAACAACAACAAAAAACCTGGAGGTATAAATGATCACACAGAGAAAATTGCTAATACCTGAAGTCCAGGCAAGGGAGCTGGAAGTTTAATGTTCAGGAAACTTCTAACCAACTGGTAAGTCCCAGGCACGCCACCCAGCTGGGCCTGATGCAAATTTCCAAAGACAGTCACAAGGGTGTACTTCTTATAACTGAAAAAAATTAAAAGAAAAACTGAAGGAGGTTGAAAACACGTATTACACATATATGTTCATATCCATGGCATTAGATTGTGAACTCTGCAGGGCAGGACCTGGACTTCAGACCTGGCACAGAAGAGGAAACAGTGCATATTTAATGAAGCAAACTGCATTACTTATTCAGTGGGCAGTGGATCGCTGTAACGATTTCTCATCACTGCAGATACTCAAAAGAATCCCTGGGGGGATATAACTGTGGACTTCAAATGCATTAGGGCTAATGTGCAGAATAATAATTGTTCCAGCTCACAGTTTAATGTTTTAGTGGACTCCTTTTAAACTTTTTTTTTTTGGAAAAATTTCAACCTACAGAAAAATTAAAAGAATAGTCCAAAGAATGCTCATACACCTTTTATCTAGATTCATATACTGTTAAATCTATGGGAATGTTTTCTCTCATTCAATATATACAAACACACACTTATATATGTAAATATACATACATATATTTTCTGAGCTATTTCTATTTATTTTTTAAATATATTTTTATTGCCCTGGTCGGTTTGGCTCAGCGGTTAGAGCGTTGGCCCACAGACCGGAGAGTCCCAGGTTCGGTTCCTGCTAGGGGCACATACCTCAGTTGCAGTTTGTCCCGGGCCCTGGTTGGGGTTGTATGGGTGGTGACCACTCGTGTCTCACATCAATGTTTCTCTTTCTCTTCCTCCCTCTCCCCCTCCTGCTCTAGCTCAAGATAAATGCAAAAATGTCCTTGGGTGAGGATAAAAAAAAATATATATATATATGTGTATATATATTTTTATATAAAATTTATATTTTTATATATATAAATATATATATATATTATTCAGTGGGCAGCGGATCGTTGTAACGATTTCTCATCACTGCAGATACTCAAAAGAATCCCTGGAGGAATATAACTGTGGACTTCAAATGCATTAGGGCTAATGTGCAGAATAATAATTGCTTATTATTGCTTATATATATAATATATATTTTTTTTAATTGATTTTTTTTAGAGAGAGAGGGGGAGAGAGAGATAGAAACATTGACATGAGAAACATTGATCGGCTGCTTCCTGCATGCCCCACCCTGGGGATCGAGCCCACAACCCAGGCAAGTGCCCTGACGGGGAATCGAACAGAGACTTCTCAGTCCCTGGGACGATGCTCAATCCACTGAGCCACACTAGCCAGGTTGAACTATTTTTAAATGTTATTAGAAATATAGAATATCTGTAAATATTTCACCATGTATCTCCTAAGAACCAGGATATTCTCTTCCTTAACCTCAATATTATTATGATACCAAGAAATTCAACATTAATAACTGTTAGTATCAAAAATATAAGCCATATTCAAACTTTTTAAAATTGTGGTATAACTGATATACATGACACTACTTTTAGGTGTACAACATAATGATTCGATGTTTGTATATATCGCGAAATGATCACTGATAAGTCTAGTTAACATCCATCACCATACTTACAGAATTTTTTGTGATGAGAACTTTTAAAACACATGTTATGTTTTTACTAATTTTTTAGAGAGAGGAAGGGGGAAAGAGAGATAGAAACATCAATGTGAGTGAGAAACACTGATCAGCTGCCTCTTGCATGCCCCCCACTGGGGATCGAGCCCACAACCCAGGCTTGTGCCCCAACTGGGAATCGAACCGGGATCTCTCAGTTCATGGATAACACTCAATTCACTGAGCCACACTGGCTGAGCATTGTGAAGAGAACTTTGAAGATTCTACTCTCGTAGCAACTTTCAAATATATAGGCATTATTATTAACTAGAGTCATTGTGCTATATATTACATCCTAGGACTTATTTACTGTATAACTGGAAATTTGTACCTTTTGACCCCCTTCACCCATTTTATCCATCTCCCCATCCCCCACTGTCAGTGGATTAACATCAGCAAAAATACTTTAAAAGTGAGCATAATTATTCTAAAATATTCATTTTTATCAAAAGATGACAGTGAATCCTTAAAAAGAATGCCAGCAAGGAACAATGCCACTGAGTGAAAAAGAACATAAGGTTACAATAATTGTGAACAGGAAACTCCCAAATAGCTCCAAGTGCTGCTTAAGGAATTGATGGGACAAAATAATTTTAAAAAATAAATAAATGAATTAAAAAAAATAAAAGGGATGGCTTACCAGGTAAAAAAAACAAGGAATGAAGCCAGGTACCATTTGTGAAGCCAAGCACCAATGTTAAGAATAAGGTTTAAGAAAAAAGCAGTCACAAGCAGTCATATTCATATACCCATTTAAAAAAATCCTATATAGTAAGAAATTCGGACCTGTATTTTGCGGACTTAAAGCAAATAAATACTACTAAATACATTAGGTTCTTTATGACTTTAGAGCAATACACTCAATAACTATGTTACAAAAATTTAGCTAGAGCTTGATGAAATATTTTATAAACTCTCTGGGCCCATGCCAGAGGGATAACTAACCAGCTGAAGTTCCAGATTTTACTTAACAAGAGAATGGAGGTTAGTGAGTTTAATATGTCTGATGGTGTTCATCTCGTGTAGCTACTGTATAATTAATACAGTACTTGGTATAAAAATCTACTCTCTGCTGTACCAAGTCTGAATTACCTGTTACACACAGGAAGTCTTATGAGTTCCTACTGAAGTATAATTTTGTTGATTAAGGGAAACCACACTGCAAGGCCACCGGCAGCTGCACAGACCCAGTGGCAAAGAATTGAGCAACTATATTCAGTGTGGCTTTTTTCTTCAAGCCTGCAGAGGCCCAGCACCCTGTCTCTAAACTAAAGAGGGTCTGTTGCACACTCATGGTAACCCCTGCTGGCCAATTCAGGAGTGTCCACAGGGAGGGATGAATGGCCCCTGCCCTAACAACCGAGGGGACAACAAGGCACAAGGACACAGCCACAACCCCCTCACAGTGACCAAGACCAATTAGTAAGGGGGTGGCAAAGAAACCCAGGCACAAATCACAGGCATTAGCAGCTGGGAAGAATCGGATTCACGGGATTAACCGAACAGAGCCAGAAGGAAAATAAAGAATCAAGGGGCCTTCCTATGGTTTAAAGGTGGCAAGATTGCCAGGAGTAAAAATTAAAATGCTGAGTGAAAACAAAAGAGCCTAAGTAATGGCTGAAGTGCATCATGAACAGGATCCTAACCTAAGGTAATGTGGTCTAATAATGTTGTCTCCATACTGAGGGACAGAGAGTAGATACAAAGAGAGAAGTCTAACAGTGCCCCCACTGACCACGATTTTACATTGCTGCAGAACTTGTCCTGGTAAGTGCTTCTGCAACAGGATCACACCTCTCGGACTTGCTCGAGCTTTTTAAAATTGTACCAGCGATGGAGCACTTAGCTTGAGGACAACTTGACACAGAAGAAACAAGTGACTTCGGGGCACTTTAAAGCCAGCCCCCCTGTGCTGTTGCTGCCTCACCTCTGCTCCAGGTACCCCAGGGCCTGCCTGACCAGCTCCATGCGTACTTCCACACTGCTGCGGCTCTTCAGGGCATCTGTCGCTGGTGCCAACAGCACGTCTGTCATTTGTTTTACCATGGTCCACATGTCAGAGATGTTCTGCACATAAATGAGACGGCACGTGACAATGCTGTGGGGTTGGAGAAACTTCTTCGTGGTACTCCAGCCTCACAGGTAGGCAGGATGTTGGGGCGGAGTGGGGGTGGGAAGAGGTTAATGTCTCCTGTCTGAGGTTCCCAGGCTATGCCCAGCACAGAAGATGAATCTCTGCCCTGCTACCTGCCAGTCTTCCATCTTCCAACAAGCACCCCATCCCAAGCTGGTTTTCACATCATTGACTATTCCAGGTCTCACATAACCACCTACATAATTAAGACCACAGAAGTAACAAGAACACTGAATCTCAGTGGGTTATCCCTTGAGAGAGTGAATACATTTATAATCGTCCAACACACTAGAAGTTTGAACTCAAGTAGCTGCATTTCAGTCCTTACAAGGTCATTTCAATTTTTTAAGGCTTAAAATGAAAGTTTAACCTAAATGATATGTTTTGTCCTCCCAGGGGCCACTGCTCTTACCCCATTTTCATAGTGTCAGAGCCTCCCATTTTCCTTCCCACTCAGTCTCTTCAAAAGCTGCCTCCCGGGATGGCCTCCCACCCAGGACAGGAATGAGCATTCTCTCCTTTGTTACCACCATACAACTGGGACTCCTTTTCCCCAGAATCCTCCTGGCAGGGAATCCCTCCTTAAAAATGTATTCCCCGGACCTCTGCACTGTTCTAAAGTTAAGAATCCTTGGAAAACAGCACCGATTAGAGAAAAGCAGGTTTACACTTTTTCCAACGGAAAAGAGAAAATCCTATTTTCAGTGTCCCCTCAAAAATTAAAACTGTAGAAAATCCATCCAAATGTGACTCTAGCTGGTAAGATGGTAGGTGAATTCTTACTTTCTTTCTAGATCTGTTTGTATTGCTTTATATTTTACTATTGTAAAAAAAAGGTGGATACATTTTTTGAAGAAAAAAAAAAATCTGTGTATGAGTGCTTGCTTCTTTCATACCCTTCCCTCTTTTCCCCTTCCTCCTGGCCACCTACCAATCCATCCGTCTACTTTTTAACTTATATTTCCCCCTGGAGGAGAAAACTGGCCAGGGGTAAGAACTGAGGGATGGGAATAAAGATGAGAAATCAGAGAGTAACAGAACCAGCAGTGTACGAAGAATGCTCATAAAGACGCCACCAGAATAAAGTCCAAGGGGCTCTTGGGTGTGAAAACATCACCTTCACAACTCAGCTCCCATTAAAGGGCCCGTGAGTCTGTCTCAGGAGGGAAACCGGTGAGGGAGGAGTTGGAGCCTGACAGGACTTCAAAGTGAATACAGCTGAAGTTCACCTCTCGTGGCCTATAATTGATCCTGGCTAAACCTTCTGAAGATGCATTAAAAATACATGCATAGCATCATCATCAAAACACCACCCCAAAATTTTTACAATTAAACTCTGAAGAACAGTTAACATTTTATTCCATGGGACAGAGTGTCTCTTCAGCTCATTTCTGCCAAGTCAGCAAGCTGCTAATCCCATCCGAACACCAGACACAAGGTTTCTACTGGGGTTGGCTCTGGGCCCTACCTTATCATCCAGCTCTGCGACAGAAGCACAGAGGTCCACGAGGTTAGGCTGCAGGTGCCCATTCACAATCTTCTCATTATAGATATAAATCTGAAATAACGAAAAGCAAAGTCAATGGCACGATTCTACTTTCATCTCCTTTTTAAAACCTCTTGAAGTAGTGCCGAGGCCAGCTCCTGCCTCGTGGTCAGAAGAGCTTCAGCCAACCTTTCCTTCTTCCTATCTGTACTGCCTGGTGGACAAGACCTCTGGCCCGCTTTCTAAGTCTGTGGTTAAGCTTTGTGTAGCAGCATCAACACACCAATGCTTACTACTACCCCGGCCTTCCTGACACCTAACGAATGGCAGCAGGGTGGTCTTGGGGGAGTACCACAGGCCGTTCTGCACCTCTCTGCCCAGCAGACCCTCAGGCCCAGTGAGCAAGGGGGAGATGAACAATAAAAGAACTCCTGTGGCTGTTTCCTAAGAACCCGAGGCAAAGTCTGGTAATCTTTCAGCAAATGGATGGAATGGGCCAGGTCCAGGGCTTGTGGTCTGAGTGAGGAGGACGTGGTCCCAGCCCTCAATTGCTGGTAGAAGAGCAGTTGCTGCATGTTTGGCGTGCCCATTTCTCTTTGTGAATGTTCCTAAGAGAAAAGAACTATGTCATGTTTAAGGTATGGAAAAACTACTATTACTTTGAACTGTATTTTAAAAAACTAAAATAATAATAAAAACTAAGTTCTAGTCTTTACATCTGGAGTCCTTGCTCTACCAGGGACTGAACGAGGTAGTGGTGATGTCAGACAAACCTGGAACCCACCAAATCTTACTTCCCTCTACTATAAATAGGGAATGTTACCATGTAACATTAATCTTTTATAAAGATTAAATAAAAATAGGTTTTTAAACTCTAAGGTGGTCTTTACTCATTCAATGAGCATTTCCGGGCCTTCTCTTCGCAAGGTACTATGTTCAACATGGGATATAAAGATTCACTCTCCACTGGAGGGGGCAGCCAAATAAACAGCTGCCTGACATTGTGGCGTCCTTAGTACTAGAAAATGTTAAGTTTATGAAGACTTAGTCTTCACACATACAAAAGACATCTAGTTTCTCTCCTTATTTATTAGGCCTGAACTCTGGTGGTGGCTGTGGCAATGAAAGAAGTCAGCTATACAAGAAAGGTGAAATTTAAAGAATATAGATGTAGTGTGGGAGAGACCTCAAAATTGGAGTGGAGGAAAAGAAATGAAGGTCCAGTAGTAAAGCAAGCCCGAGAGATTTCGAAGGAGGGAGACTCGTGTGCAGGAAGCTGATGTTGCTGGCTTTGGCTGCCTGGTTAGACTTTAAAAGTGTTTAGAGTTCTTTTCAACAAGAGGTGTAAGAGGGATGGAAGCCTGCCACCCTCAATTCACGAAGCAAGATCATTTTTCCTTCTTGATACTTTGTACAGGGAAGTGGCAAATTAGAATAAAACACACAGGTGGCCAAGCATTGCTTTACTCAAAAAGTCAGTTCAAGGTACGTACTGTTCTCAGGGCCTTTTCAGTCCAATGAGTCCCTGTGCTCACAGCAAAGTACCTCAGTCCATACCCATACAATTCCATGGTCATGACACACAAGCAGAACCACAGTCCCCACACAGGGTGAGCTTACCCAGGGCAACAATATTAGGTAGTGTTGAGTACATGATGCTTACCAAGCAGAAAAGCATTTAGAAAATTTCTCAACAACAAGGTTCAGGATTTCTGAGAATACCATCAGCCTACCAGGTAATTCAGTTAATACAGAACTTCATTTGCTAGGCAGTGCAGTTACTCAAGGCTTTACTGTATATGGGCTATTGCCAAATGCAAAATGAGATGCCTCGGTCAGTGTAGAGACTGAGTTCAATTTCCCTAAATCAAATCAAAGTCAGTCTATTAGCCAATTTGATGGAATTCTCCAGTGACTTAGATGGTAAAATATTAACTAGTCCTCAGAATGAAAACCCAACTTGCTTTCAGGGTTTGACTTTCATATGAAGTCATTGTTCTCTTTCACTCCCTAGGAGGCTCACATAGGACTTTCCTGGATGCGATCTTCCTCAAAGCGTGCTCACCTGTCGGGCATAGGCCATCTCGATGCTATCCAGAGAGCTTCGACCAGGGGGTCCCACATCACTGATATAACTTGGCTGTAGATAAATACACATTCAGAACTGGTGATGAACAGTATTCAGTCATATAAACAAAAAAAATCATGTAAACACATGCTTGTCTTTAACAAAGCTTTGAGGAGTTTGCTTCCTAGTCAGACTTTTTCCAAATGATGACTCCAGGGGTTTCATTGGAAAGCAACTTTCTTACCATGAACATGAGAAGGGGGCAGGCATGGGACTCAAGTAACTAAAAAATAATGGGAGGCGGGATAAGCTATAAGGAGATCTCAATGACCGATTCCAGAAATGCACATTTCTCCAACATTTGGTTTCAATCCCAAGGCCCCTCTCCACCTTGCCGTCCCTCTCCATAGCTTCACAGAAGTGAGGCCATCACTGTTATGTGTGGCCCCCTGTTTCCAGCAATCATATCCCATGGCAGAGGGAATGGAGTTTACAGAGTCACAGGACTGGGATTCAGACATTTCCAGTCTAGAGTTCACACTAAGACAATAGCTCTGATTCGTTTTCTGCATCTGAAGATATGAAGCCAGTCTAGGTTGGGCAGTTCTTCAATCATTCAGTAAACATCTAAATGCCTGCCTGCCACACACATAGCTGTATGCACATCTGTCCCCACAGGGATGACAACAAGCCAGGCCACAGAGTCTGTATTCAAAGACCTTACCATCTATTGGAGAGAGTTAGTCCCAAATACATGGAAAAGTTTAGTAGTACTTTTTTTTAAAAGAAAAACTAAAGTTAATCTTTAGCTAAGCTTATTCCCTACTATAAACAAATATGGATCAAAATTAGGTGTATCCTATAGGTATATTCTTAAATTTCCAATATATTAGTTTGTACTGTACTATAGCAGAAACCAAATTTTTTATACACTACTCTCGTTTTCAAAAAAAAAAATCAATGCTCTAGTCTCTAAAATCTAAAACAAAGCAGTATAAATTAGGCTTCCCAGGAAACCAGTGGAAAATAGCAACAAACTTCCTAGTACCAGCAAAGCTAGTAAAAGGAAGACAAGCGTGAGCTTGCACTAGTAGGGTAGAGAGGAAAGAGGGGCTGAACCGCAGTCAGGACACCTGGGTTCGAGGAGAGCCACTTTCTCCCTGGCTTTGGGAACTGGCACATTCTCTTGGAGCCTCTGGTTCCCATCAGCAGAATGAAGGGCAGTCCCAGACTATCTTAAGAGGTCCTCCTCAGCTCTCACCTTCTGCAGGCACTGGTATTAAAAGAGCTTTAAACACTTTCCTAACCTTGGTAGATGCTGCTGGATGGCTGACCCAATGACTGTTCCAAATCCCTACCTGTCATCTCTACCTCCTGCTGCCTTTCAGTCTGGCGTATGGAGTTAAACACATACCCAATGGTCACTCCTACCTGAAACAAAGAATTACTGAAAACCGCCAGGTTACAATAATAATAATAATAATACCTACATTCACTGAACACTTACTGTATGCCAAGCAATGTCTTAATGTCCATATATTAACTCCACAACCCTATGAGACAGGTACTTCCACCGTATCGATTTTACCAGAGGAAGACACCAAAGCACACAGAAAGCAACTTGCCCAAGGTCACTCTGATACGAAGCATTGGAGCCATGGTTTGGATCCAAAGTCGACAGCATACTGGCTCTCAGGGCAGCTTGGGACAACTTTCCAAGGACAGCCATCAAAGAACAGAGAGTAGTAGTTAGAAATCCTGGCTCCACCACTCACTAGCTGTGTGACCTTGATTAAGTATATTGCTGCTGCTGCTTCTTTTTTTTTAATCCTCACCTGAGGATAATTTTCTATTTATATTCAGATAGAGTGGAGAGAGGGAGAGGGAGAGAGAGAGGAAGAGAGGAACATTAATGTGAGAGGCACACATCAACTGGTTGTCTCTCGCACGACCCGACCAGGGCCAGGGACTGAACCACAACTGAGGCACGCGTGCCCTTGACCATTATCCAATCCGTGATTCTTTGGTCTGCGGGCCAATGCTCTAACTATTGAGTCAAACTGGCTAAGGTGTTTCTTTGTTTGTTTGTTTTTTAATATATATTTCACTGATTTTAGGGAGAGAGGAAGGGAGAGGGAGAGATTGATAAGAGAGAACATCGATGGATCATCTGCCTCCTGCGCGCCCCCCACAACCTGGGCATGTGCCCTGACCAGGGATCAAACCAGCAACCTTTTGGTGCATGGGTCAATGCTCAACCACTGAGCCACACCAGCGGGGCTATATTGCCTTTTTTTTTTTTTCCATTCCTCACTCAAGGAGATTTTTCCATTTATCACCAGATAGAATGGGAGGGACAGAGAGAAAGAGAAAGAGACAGAGAGAAACATCGATGTGATAGAGCCACATCGATTGGTTGCCTCCCACATGACCCGACCAGGGCCGGGGATGAATCGCAATTGAGGTACGTGCCCTTGACTGAAATCAAACCTGCGACTCATTGGTCTGTGGGCCAATGCACAAACCACTGAGCCAAACCAGCCAGGGCTATATTGCTTCTTTTGAGTTTCAGTTTCTTAAGCTGTAAAATAGGGGCAGTGATGAGATGCATTTCATAGGTCTGAGATGAAGATTAAATGGGGAGAAAAATAGTATGCATTTTTACAACACTATTGTGGGGAATAAGTAGAAAGAATTCAGCATAGTGCCCAACACTTGGCCAATAAAAGCCAGCTGTTATGACTTTTTAAACAAAAAATAAACAACCATAACAAACACAGAAATAAATCCTACATTGAACAACAATAGACAGATATGGAAAGTACAGAGACATAACTTAAAATATTTTCTTTTGTGTTGGCTGGAAAGTCTCATCTCATTTTTGTACAATAAACATACATTCCTATATGAATAGACACCCCATCAGTTCATTTTCGATATTCAGATGAATTCAGAAAGTTCCTAGTAACATTGAGTTGAGGACTGTTCGATAAGACTACCACCTTTCTGGAACAGAACTAACCATTGAAAGCTGATGGTCCCAAAGTCTTTTTAAAGAATAGAGCACTAGGCCTATTTTTAATTCATGTAACCTAATTGGGGGGAATGAATAGGGAGATGAAAAGGGGAACAGCACTAAAACATTTCTGCAAGGACACAGATGTTTCAGCTAAATATACATACACAGCCTTGAGAAGTAATTTCCAGTACTAAAAACCCAATTTTTAAAATTATCCATTTAGAAAGTAGTTGGTTTTCAGGCTCTAGATTTCCATTTAAATTAATTTTGCTTAATGTTCTTGTTTTCAAAAGTACCTTTCCTTCATTTGCCCTTGGCCAAGCTTCTACATAACCACATATAAAGTCAATTATCCATCAACAGGATGTGTACATGCACATTCCTGAGCAGAGGAACTAGCAAATGTTTGCTGGAATTTCAAAGCCAGGGGCTGCTTGAGGGCTGGGAAACCAGTATACTTTGTGAGAATAACATTCCAAACTCCTCGGACCTCTGGGTTTCTCTGCATGGGGCCCAGACTGAACCAGAGTGGCATTAAGTCCGCTATAAAAATTAGAAACTATGCCCATGTATGCTGTCCACACATCACAGTGTGGAATGTGACCATCATTATCTATAACTTTTAAGCTACAATTTAGCTACTCTACTGAGCCTGTTACTTGCTAGGCTAAGTCATTTTCCAGACAATACATTAAAGAACTATCCACTGACTATGTCCAATACCAACAGCCACTAGACTCCACTAAGGTGAGATAAATTTACCTTTCAATGCTGGTTGTTGCTCCCCTCCACCCCTACCCCCAAGTGAAAGCAAAATTTATTTGAAAAACAGACAGACTCCCTGCAGCGGGGCGGGGACCTAAGTGAGTTGCCCTCAATGCTGTTTTTAAAATTGGCTAAGAAATATCGATTCCCAAACACTGCTTGTACCCCACATGCTGTCACGCCAACAGCACCACACTAACCGGAGGCAGGACTAGGTAGGGCACAAGGGTTCTTTGCCAGGAGTGTCTTTCTTGTTTCAAAGCATATCATTTTTATTCTGCCCACAACCTGAAAATTATTAATAATCTTCCAATCCCTGCCTTCCTTTAAAAATTATACTTCTTTCTTCAATGATATCCTAAGGAAATTAATTTCCCAAATTGAATTTATGCCACTGAAACAGCATTCCTCTATTAAAACTTGCTGGGAACAGAGATGAGCAATGTGTCACTGCTCTTCTAGTATAAGAAGGCTTGGGGGGGGGGGGTGTGTTTCACGAACCACCATATCCTAGTTCATTTTTGCTTTTAAAAATATAGCCTCAGCCCTGGCCAGTTTGGCTCAGCGGTTGGAGCATTGGCCTGCGGTCTGGAGAGACCCGGGTTGGGTTCCCACTAAGGGCGCGTACCTCAGCTGCAGCTTGTCCCCGGCCCTGGTTGGGGTGTGTGGGTGGCAACCAGTCGATGTGTCCCTTTCACTTCGATGTTTCTCTCTCTCCCACTCTATCTGAACAAAATATCGAAAAAATGTCCTTGGGTGAGGATTAAAAAAAAAAATATATATATATATATATATATATATATCTCTCTATCTATATCTCCTCACCCTGCCGGTGTGACTCACTGGTTAAGTGTCGACCCACGCACCAAGAGATCGCCAGTTTGATTCCCGGTCAGGGCACATGCCCAGGTTGTGGGCTCTATCCCCAGTGCGGGGCATGCAGGATGCAGCCAATCCATGTTCTCGCTCATCGATGTTTCTGTCTCTCTCTCCCTTTCCCTTCCTCTAAAAAAAAGAAAAAAAAAAAAATCAATAAAAAAATGTTTTAAAATTTTAAAAAAAGGCCTCAAGCTTCTCTTTATATTACATTATCCAAATTTGGATATTTTCCTTCAAATATAAGGTCAGCTCAAAATGATTAGAAGCCTCCTTTCTAACTAATGACTCTTTGGACTCCCAACCTTATTCCTGACAAATTAAAAAGAAAACACACTTAAAAAAGGGACAGATTCTATTCAGATGACTAAAATAAACTTAACAGTGTGGAGCTCACCGAAGAGTAACGGCCACCATCAGTGCCGCGAGGCTGTGCTGAGTGTGTGCTCTGTGCCAGCACTGGGCGAGGCGCTTGACACACATCCTACGTCCCTTCCGACAGCTCTTCAAGACAGGCCTTTACAGCGTGAGCCCAGCCTGGGAGTCTCGGCCTGCTGAATTTCAAAATCTGTCTCTGGCCTGCACACTACGCTGTTTCCTATAAAGAGGGTAGAGAAAGTGCCTGCCCAAGTGGAGGTAATATCACTTTGAAGAAAATTATAAGGGAAAAGCCTGTAAAATCACATTGTTCCACACATCCACCAGAATGGTTAAATTTAAAGATAAAAAATACCAAGTGTGGCAACAACTTGGAACAAATGGAATTCTCACATCCTGCCTGTGGGAGGGTACTTTGGACAAGTACTTGGCAGTAGCTGCTAAAGCTGAACATATGCATGCCCTCTGACCCAGCAATCCCCTCTCAGATGTCCCCAACGGAGAGGCAAACATACGTTCATGAAAAGAAACGTACAAGAATGTTCACAATAGCGCTATTTATAAAAGCCCAAAACTGGGAACTGTCCAAGTGTCCATCAACACCAGAATGGATGCACAGATTGCAGTCACACCGTGCAGTCAGGAGAATGAACGGGCCTACAACTACATGCAACGATGTAAGAGTGTTAAGCAGAAACAAGAATACATGTTGGATGACTCCATTTACATAAAGTTCAAAAACAGGCAAAATTGCCCTGGCCAGTTTGGCTCAGCAGTTTAAGTGTCGGCCCTCGGACCCAAGAGCACTGGTTCTGTTCCAGTCAAGGGTATATACCTGGGTTGCAGGTTTGATCCCTGGCCCAGCTGGGATCATGAGGGAGGCAACCAATCAATGTGAGACACATCGATATCCACCCCCACTACTCTAAAAATCAATGGAAAAATATCCTCGGGTAAGGATTAAAAACAGGCAAAATTAATCTATGATATTAGAAGTCACAAGAGTGTTCCCTTGTTGGAGGTGGTGAGGGGCAGTGACTAGAAAGGTGTACAAGGAGGGCTGTTTGCTGGTAATGTTTCTGCCTCTGGGTGTGTTCCATCTGTGATCATTCATTGCGTTGTATACTTATGACGTGGGCTTTTCAGTGCCCATTGTACTTCAGGAATAAAAGTTCAAAACAATAGCAACAAACAACAAAATCCACAGGGGTCGATAAACTGGGAACTCCCTGGATAACCTGGAGAGAACCACTGTATCAGTCACTGGCTTTCACAGCCAAGCTATCCACTCTGCTAGGTGTCATACAGAGAATAGTAACAGTGTTGGTAACTCCCTTCCAAGGGGATTCGAGGTCAAGGAAGAAGAGTCTGCTAAATAGACTAGTCTATTTTTAAGAGAACAATCAAGAAAGAATATCTCATTAGCAGCTTATAATTACTTCCAAATCCCAATACAGACCACAACCTATTAACACCATCTTAAAAAGTGAAGTTTATAAAACCACGAGCTGTTCTATTTACCTGCCCAGACTCACAAGAAATTGAGAAAAAAACATTAGGCTGACCAAACATTATACATTAGTTCTTCTTTCCCAAAGACTCTGATCTGAGTCTTTGAGTCTAAGAAATGTGGAACAGGAGGCTTAAAGAGTAATTTCCTAATCAAATGACTTTAGCACCTATTTATTTGGGGGCTAACTTACTAGAAAAACTGGCTTTTAAATCAGGAGTAAATTTATAGATATGAGATGTGTCAAGTTGTCCTCCAGGCATGACAAACTGCCAAGCTACCCACCCTTGACCCAGACTTCAACAGAACAATGATCCAGAAGCCAAAAGTCCTGGATGTCATCAGTGTCTCTCTGAGCTCAGTTGTTCTCTCTCTCGTGGGAAAAGAATGCTAGCTAACCATAAAGCTACTTAAAGCAAAAGACTCATTGGGAAGCACTGGTAAAAGTATTTAAAATGTCTAACAATACACATTTTATAACATTATAATTTTTAATCTACAACTCTAAAATATTTGAAACTGTTTTAAATAACAGTAAGGAATGGCCATTATGGGTCAGGTGCTTTATATTATTATGAATCTTCCCAATAAACATATTTCACCAGTGAGACACTGAAGGTCTGCAGGATTAAATAACTTGGACAAGGTCTCAGAACTAGTCAGCGGTGGAGGTAGAATTCGAACTCAGGGCTGTGCTCTCCTCAACAGCAGAGCAGCGAATGTGTGGCAAGACAGTTTCCCAGCACAGGGCAGACATTACTAATCAAGCAAGACACTCTTCCTGCTGATCCCAAGGTGCAGCCTCAAAATTCCCCTCAGAATATATTAAGTGAAAAAAGCAAAATACAGAACAGAGCATAGAGTAACCTAACTTTTGTATAAAGGGAGGGAATAAGATTTATAGTCTTACATACTTGTATTTATATAAAGAAATCTTAGAAATATGCACAAGAAAGTAATAACAGTGAATGCCTACGGGAGAGGGAGAAGGGGGAGAGAACAGATTTTTGGGGACAGGGTACTTCAATTCTTGAATCATGTAAATACATTGCCATTTTAAAAATTAGATTTTCAAGAGGAGAAAACCCTCAACTTAGTACTACCATCAAAATACACTTTAATGAGAGAAACAGGCAATAAGCAATATAAAGACATAAAACATGTACAGTGGTATGTGGGAAGAAGTGCTGGAAAAAAGGGGTATAAGAAGTGATGAATGGGGAGTGGCTGACTTGGATTTCAGATAGCAAGACCTTGGATGGCCTCAATGAAATGGCACTGGGTAAATATTTGAAGGAATAACTATTTGAGGGAAACCGTCATGCAGGTATTTGGGGGAAGAGCATTCTAGGCAGAAGGAACAGAAAGCACCCGAGGCAGGAGCAAGCCTGCCAGGTTTGTTCAGGCACCTGTAAGGAGCTCATGTGGTTGGAGCAGCGAGAGCAACGGGAAGAGAAGTAGAAGGGGAGAGAAGTAGAAGGGGAGAGAAGTAGAAGGGGAGCTTGGAGAAGCAAGAAGACCGGGTCCCGTGGGGACTTACAGGCCATGGTGAAGACTCTGGTTTTCACTCCAAGTGAGATGTGAGGGTCCTGAGCAGAGAAGAGACTCAATCTAATCTGTGTTTTAATAGTGTTACTCTGGCTGCTGTGTTAAGAGATTGTACAAGGGCAAAAGCAGGAAGACCAGTGTGGTCGACTACCTCTAAGATGGTCCCCAATAATCCCCTCCTCCTGGGAGTCAAGCCCTTGTATAATCCTCTTCCCTTGAATGTAGCTGGATTTAGTGACTTACTTTGAACAAAGGGGATAGACAGAATATTACTTTCAAGATTGTTATATAAACACTGGTTTTTGTGTTGGGGTCACTTTAGCTCTCCCTTGGATCCCTCACTCTTGCTCTGGGGAAGCGAGTTATGTTGTGACTAGTACAATTAAGAGACCCATATGACAGGAAACTGATATCCCTAATCCAAGAGCCAAAGAGAACCTGAGGCTTGCCAAGAATCACATGAGTGAGCTTGGGAGTGGCTCTGTCCTGAAATAAGCCTTGAGAGGAGTGTAGCCCCAGTCAACACCTTGACGGCAGCCCCAAGAGACCCTGAGCCAGAATTATCCAGCTAAGCTTAATTAATGCTTGTTTTCAGCCACTATATTTTGAAGAGATTAGTTACATGGCAAGAGATAACTGAAACCACCACTTAGGGGAGTTCAATAATCGGAGCAAGAGCTAATGGTGGTTTGGATGAGTGCTAACAGTGGAGGTAGTAAGACATGGTTGGATTCTGGGTATATTTTGAAAGTAGGGCTAACTGCATTTACCAACATGTGCGTGTGAGAGACAAAGTAGAAAGAGAGGAGAAAAATGAATCTGTATTTTTTAATCTGAGCAAGTGAAAAACTGGAACTGCCATTTATAAAGATGATTAACTCTAGAAGAGAAGGCTGGCTCCAGGACAAGGGCATAGGGGGCAGTTGCTATCTTGACCCAATTCTGTACATATGTAGTTTGAGATGGCTCTGAGGCGTCCAAGTAGAGCCAAGAAGCCATTAGATAAATGAATCTGGAGCTTGGTGCTGCAATGTGTATTTGAGTCTTCAGCAGATAGATAATATTTAAAGCCACAAGCTCAGATAAGAGCAACAGGGCAGTGACTGAGGGAAAAATAACAATAGGTTAAGGATGGAGCCCTAGGACACTCAAACATCTGGAAGTCAAGGAGTATGAGGAAAATTCAGCAAAGGAGGCTGAGCAGAAGCAGCAACATGTTGGGAGAAAATTCAGGCAGTGTGGGCATCCTAGAAGCCAAGGGGAAGAGAGTGATCAACTGTGCCAAGAGAGCCAGCAGTCAAAAAGGTAAGCATTCTTTGACCTCACATTTTTATTAACAGTGGTTTATTTTTTGGACTCAACCTACCTCATTTTCTTGAGTAAAGTCAAGGGCATCTTCTCCTGATGCCAGCAGTGTATGGAGAATTCGCTGTTTCACTTGCTCCCACTCCACCAGCATTGACTCTCGATGGTACTCCTCAGCCATGCCAAAGGTCTGTCAGAGAAGAGCAGAAAGAGATGACCCAAATGAAAAACACACAAAGAAAACGGTTTCCTTTAAGCCCCCCAAATCTACCATCTTTCTATAAGTAGAGAAAAAGCAATCAACTTAAAAATTATCCTTAAAGAATTCACTGACAACTGTTCACAACATACCATAGTTCATCAAGTCTAACTTTTTTATTTTTGTTAACCCGAGGATATTATTTTCTTAAAAAAATTTTTTTTGCCCTGGCCGGTTTGGCTCAGCAGTTAGAGCGTCGGCCCATGGCCCATGGAGTCCTGAGTTTGGTTCCCACTGGGGGCATGTAACTCGGTTGCAGTTTGTCCCTGGCCCTGGCTGGGGTCGTGTGGATACCAACCGGTTGATGTGTCTCTCTCTCTCTCTTCCTCCTGCTCTGTCTGAAAATAAATGCAAAGAAAAAAAAATTTTTTTTTAGAGAGGAAGGGAGAGGGAGAGAGAAACATTGATGAGAGAGAACATCAATTAGCTGCCTCCAGCATGCCCCCCACTGGGGATTGGGCCCACAATGTGGGCGTGTGCCCTGATTGGGAACCAAACCAGCGACCTCTTGGTGTGTGGGTCAACGCTCAAGCACTAAACCACACTGGCTGGGCAAATCTAACATTTAATTGTGGTAAAATACACCTAACAAAATATACTATCTTAACCATTTTTTAGTGTACAGTCAGTGGTATTAAGTACATGTACACTGTTGTGCAACCATCACCACCAACCATCACCATAACTCTTTTCATCTTGCGAAAATGAAATTCTGTACCCACTAAACCATAACTTGCCATTACTTCTTCTCCCTAGCCCCTGGCAACCACCATTCTATTTTCTCTCTCTATGACTGACTACTCTAGCTACCTCACAGAAGTGGAATCATATAACATTTGTGACTGGCTTATTTCACTTAGCATAATATCATCCATGTTGTAGCATATACAGATTTCCTTCCTTTTTCAGGCTGAATAATAATATTCCATTGTATGTATATACCATATTGTATTTATCCACTTATCTACCCATAGACACCTGAGTTACTTCTACCTTCTGGTTATTATGAATAATGCTGCTATAAACATGGGTATGCAAATATCTCAAGTTCCTACTTTCAGTTCTTTGGGGTATATATTCAGAGTGGAATTGCTGGATCACATGGTAGTTCTGCTTAATTTTTGAGGGACTGTTTCCACCAAGACTGTACCATTTTACAATTCCATCAATAGTGAACAAAGGGCCCTGGCCAGTTTTGCTCAGTGGTTAGAGCGTCGGCCTGTGGACCAGAGAGTCCTGGGTTTGGTTCCTGCTAAGGGCACATACCTCAATTGCAGTTTGTCCCCAGCAATCGTTTGGGGTCGTGCAGTGGCAACCAGTTGATGTGTCTCTCTCTCATGTGGATGTTTCTTTCTCTCTCTTCCTCCCTCTATCCCTCCTGCTCTATCTGAAAATAAAAATAAAAAAATGTCCTCGGGTGAGGGAAAAAAAAAAGTGAACAAAGGTTCCAATTTCTCTACCTCCTCTCCAATACTTACTATTTTGTTGTTTTGTGTTTTTTAAATAGCTGCCATCCTAAATGGGTGTTAGGTGATATTGCGTGGTTTTAATTTTTATTTCCCTAATGATTAGTGATGTTGAACATCTTTTCATGTGCCTATTAAGACAAATACAGGGTGGTGCTACCTCAAAAAATTAAAAATTGAACTTCCATTTGACCCAGTGATCCCACTGCTGGGAGTATACCCTAAGAAGCCTGAAACACCAATCAGGAAGAATATATGTACCCCCATGTTCATAGCAGCACTTTTACAATAGCTAAGATCTGGAAACAGCCCAAGTGTCCACCAGTAGACGAATGGATAAAAAAGTTGTGGTACATATACACAATGGAGTACTATGCAGCGGTAAGAAAGAAAGATCTCTTATCCTTTGAGACGACATGGAGGGTCCTGGAAAGTATTATCCTAAGTGAAAGAAGCCAAGCAGAAAAAGACAAATACCACATGATCTCACTTATATACGGAATATAATGAACATAACAGTCTGAGGAATACAGTAGACCCAGACACATGGAAGTGGGGCACAGACTGACATCCCTCAGAAGAGGGGATGGGAGGTGGGGGGGTGGGAAGAGATAAACCACAGAACTTATATGCATGTATGCATGACCAATGGACATGGACAACTAAGCCGGGGAAAGGGTGGAGGGGGGGTGGGGTGGGGGTGCCAATGGGGTAAAAAGGTAAAATATCTGTAACAAAAAAAAAAAAAAGACAAATACAGGGTGAAAAATAATACAATACAATAAACTCTGTGTTTCATGTACTCATAATTGTAAACCTACTTTTGCCTCACCCTGTTTATTTTTAAAACCTCTGAAATTAGGCTACATATTACAACTGACAGCATGTCAGTTTATTCTTTGCAGTACATAAAATAATGATGGATTATAAAATCAATGGTATCTTAAGATTTAATAAGCATCTAAGAAAACAGAAAAACAAATGTTCTCCCAGTATCTTTATTTTCCAATTTTTTTCTTTATTAATTTTTTTTTTTTAGAGAGAGACAGATAGATAGAAACACCAGTGAGAGAGAACATCGACTGGCTGCCTCCTGCATGCCCCCCACTGGGGATCAGGCCCACAACCTAGGCATGTGTCTTGACTGGGATCAAACCAGTGACCTTTTGGTGCATGGGTCGACATTCAACCACTGAACCACACCAGCTGGGTTGTCTTTATTTTTTTAAGTAGGTGATATTTTCATAGAAGAAGCAAATCAGTAAAAGAAAAACAGAGCCTTGTATGGTTAGGTTTACTACCTGTCTAACTCAAAGTCACTACTGAAATATCTGACAAACTTCACTCCTGTCTACTGGTGACTACAGTTGCTACCAAAACAAAGGCACACAGAAGGAAGAGAAAAGAAAGGAAAGAAGGGAGGGAGAAAGGAAGGGAGGGGGAAGGGAGGAAAGTAGTGGGGGAGGGAGGAAAGGAGAGGAGGAGGGAAAAGAAACAAAACCCCTGAGGAAGAAATTAAAGAAACTTACAAAGATATACTGAATCATGACCATTCTTGGCCTATTATTCTTTAACTGGCAGACCAGGTTTCCATCAGCTTAATCCCACTTTTCAAAAGCCCTTTCATTTACAATCTGATTACAATCAGATTGGCATCTAATTAGGCAGCACCAAGGGAATGAGTATTAGTAATGCCTGCTTTATTTTTGGCAATGCAGATAATTTATACTGATAATAACCATACAAGTGAGCTTTGGAAAACTCTTAGAAAAATCACATACCCATCCTACAAATGGGATGTTTCACTATGGACCAATACTTACTAAAATGTGAAAAAGAGAGACATGAAACACACACAAAAATGATTAGGAAGAAGGCTGGCACATCTTGCAAGTCTGATTTTGGTCCATCTATCAATGGATCCCTTTTTTAATATGTATTCTAAAGACACAGGAAAAATTACAATCACAAACTTTAAAAACAATTTTCCACCTAGTTTTCTTCTGAGAGGCAGGCAGAATGGACCACTCCAGTCAGTTAGCCTGGAATGAAAAAGTACCTAGAGAAAAATAAGTTTCTTTTGTTATATTAGTGAACTTATATGTGAAAGCTATGTAATTGTTTTTAAAAAATTAATAACAAGCTATGCATTTTTAATAGAGAGAGGTATGTTAGAACAGAAAGGTGGGGCAGGGAAGTTCCCTAGAAGGTATCCAGAAACAGTATACAAGTGAACAACAATTTCTTCTAATACTCTCCCTATTTAGTGATCAGACCAACCACCTCCTCAGCCTTGAGCCTCTCCCAGCAAGGGAAAATGAAGGGCTATGTGGCATGAAGACTAGGGTATATAGAAATAAGGAGCCCATGGGCAAGGCTTTCTAAGCTTGCAACAGCCAGTGAGGCACTGCGCTGGGGCACTGACCCAGGACACTACAGTGTCCCAAGTTTTTCTCAAGGACAAGAGTGGCAGAGTACCACAGGAAATTGAATAAAACAAACAATATACCATCCAGATACATTGATGATTGAGGACGGTGGGGGCAGACTTCCAGCACTATGTAAGGGTCAGAGTGACAGGAAGTGAGGATTAACCATTTTGTTAATCAGGCTGTCTATCTGTGCGCCAAGAAACTGGCAGCTTTCTGGGCTCAAATCCTCAGACAGATCTGAGAATTATGCCATCTACTCATTTAGAAACAACCCCACAACCTGAATAAACAGCACTGTGGTTCCATTCATCATTAGTGTGAAAAGGAGCTTCAAATACAAATGAATGGCCCAACATTAAAATTCTCTTCCCTTGACCATGCCACCCCCAGTTTATCTTAATTACATTAGAGATAATGGAACATCCAATTTGTGGGCTAATCAGGAATGATCACCCACCCATCTGCCCTATTCCAGTCTATTCCCTTTAGACCCACATGATAGATTAGGTGCAGAGGAGGATGTCAACTAGAGGAGCTCATGAAGAGTCAACACAGCTACTCAACTAAAAGCTATGAGAAGAGTACAGATAGGGGTTGGAGGCGAGGTGGGAGGCAGGGAATAGTAGGAAAAAGAAGGAAAGAAACCCAAGGGAAGAGGAAGAGATGACCTGTAAGGGTGAGAAGGACTAAAATGAAAAGACAGGGCAAACCACAGAAAATGACAAAGCAGTGGAGAAACTTACAAATTAAATAAAAATCGTTCAAATTATGTGTGGAAATATAGTTCTTTGAACACAGTTAAGAAAGGAAAGCAAGGAGCGAACTGGGCAACTGTATTGAGAACAAACCCCGTTTTCATAAAGGGAAGAGGGCAATATGCCTTGACTTCACACCGGCTTATTACTGAGCTGTTGCTGGCATTTAGAAGCTCTACATATGTTCTGATAATGTTGTTCTGTTTTTGCTGGGAGGCACCAAATGGGGAAAGATAGGACACATTTGTGGTTTTGTAGCTTTTCTTGGCATTTCAGCAGGACACTGGCAAGTTATTCAAACATAAAATTACCACCAAAATGCCAGGAAGCTACTCAGTCTTTGTTTGAAAATGACTCCTGCTCAGTGGCAATCTCTTGGTGTCCGGTCAGGTGAAAGGTCTCCCCCAGGCTGGCTCCCAACACTGGAATACCTCCCTCAAACACATATGCACACATTTTGCACTGTGATATGTCACTTAAATGTTTTGGCTGGCTGCACATTTCGTCTCAGTATGGCACAATGTTCAGAGACTGCCAATTCCAGAACACATTCCAAAGGGTAAGTGGATTAATAAGACTTGGTGGCATTCGACAGTCCTAATTTAATTTCATCAGTCCTTTACAGCAGGAGAATCAAAGTTGGTAACTTATTCAAAGTGTGAACAACAAAAAATATTTTTAAAAAATATTTTCAAATCTGAATCAAGTGTATTTCTTTACATCTAGAAATAAGTACTGTTGCCAAAAATATAATTAATAAAATTTTAGGGCATTTTACTCTGAATTAAACATGTCAGTCCTTTGGAACATTTTCTTATAAATTAGAGCTGACACGCCTCCTGCTGCCTTACTGAGACATTTCTACCTGCATGGAACATTCTAATAAAGCACACTGAAAAGCATTTTTTTATACTTTATTATTTTTTACATAAATAATATAGAAATATATTTCACTTGATATCAAGATTATATAAGTAAACAGCAAAACAGAGGTCTCCCTTCACCCCCTACTGGCCTTTACAGATGCTGGGAGAGTAGCTGCCTTTTTAGAGTCAAATCCACATGATTGCTAACCTTCCTCCTCCAAAGACTCCGGTGGCCTGAAAATCTCTTACTCCATAATGGGAAGTTTTGGAAAGATTTTGATTTTTTAATCCTTGTAACAAATAGCAATAACTCACATTATTAAAATAAGCGATCTTTGATTTTCTTGGAAGAATTGCTACACATATAACAGCTGCTCTGGCTGACTTACTACCCTTTTAAGGGTCAAGCTAGCTTGTTTTTGTTTTCTTCAAGAGCTTGAGAAATTATTAATGTAAAAGGCAGCATAAAGAATAAGATCTTGCCCGGCTGGTGTGGCTCAGTGGTTGAGCATCAACCCATGCACCAAGAGGCTGCTGGTTCGATTCCCAGTCAGAGCACATGCCCAGGTTGTGGGCCCAATCCCCAGTCAAGAGCACGCAGGAGGCGGCCAATTGATGTTCTCTCTCATCGATGTTTCTATCTCTCTCTCCCTCTCCCTTCCTCTCTCTCTAAAATCAATAAAGAAAAAAAAAAAAAGAATGAGATCTTGCCATTTGCAAGAACATGAATGGATCTAGAGGGTATTACACTAAGTAAAGTAAGTCAGGCAGAGATATAGAAATACCACATGATTTCACTTATATGTGGAATCTAAGAAAACAAAACAAATGAACAAATGAAACAAAATAAAAACAGACTCACAGACACAGAGAACAGGGTACAAACCTCCAGTTATTAAAAAAAACAAAAACATAAAAAACCTCATAGGATGTTAATGCACAGCACAGGGAAAATAGTCAACACTACCCATAATAATTTTGTATGATGACAGATTACTAGATTTATTGTGGTGATCACATAATAAGGAATATAAATGTTGAATCACTAGGTTGTATACCTGAAACTAACATAATATATGTCACCTATACTTTAATAAAAAAATAATAATAGCCCTGGCCGGTTTTGCTCAGTGGTTAGAGCGTCTGCCCACGGACCAATGAGTCTCAGGTTCGATTTCAGTCAAGGGTGGGTATCTCAGCTGTGGTTCGTCCCCGGCCCTGATCAGGTCATGCAGGAGGCAACCAGTCAATGTGGCTCTATCACATTGATGTTTTTCTCTCTCTCCCTTCCTCCCACTCTATCTAATGATAAACAGAAAAATATCTTTGGGTGAGGAATAAATAAAATAAATAAATAAAAGGTAGCATAGAAAGTCAACCTGGGTGATAAAAAGAAACTGAGGAAAATTATCAATGATCATAATTGCTCTCTGAACTGCTGATTCAGAAACCAAAATACCACTTTTACCTATAACAATGAAACCAAAGGATTGTCTGGCCCTTCCATTTTAATAATTTAACAATTAGTTGATCAGCCCAGTGTTTCAGATGCATTTCAGTCACTAAACAAACATATAGTTATAAGCAGGATGTTTTCCTCAGAAAAAGTTCCTGCAGAACTCCCTCTGGTAAACTCACTTGTCTAGGCAGGAGAGCTGGGCCTTGGGCACAGGCTCGCTTCCAGAACCTGTGCTCCCGGTCCCTAAGGCCGCCCTCACCGTGGTTGTACACCTACACCTAGGCTTGTTTCTTACCCTCTTCCGGGACTCTTCGATAGCAGACAGCAGGGCATTGTCCTTCTCATTCTTTAGGAAGCCCTAAGAAAGGGGGGAGAAATGACACAACTTAGGTTCAAATTAACCATCAAAACATCAAAAGTACACTGTAGGGAAAAAACCATAAGGATATCTTCTACCCTGCCCACCGTCACCCTCACAAAACACTCTCAACCTGAAAATATCAAAATAGATAGTTATTATAAACGTGTTCTATTTTCTTTCATTCTGGGAGCACATGATGATTGTCAGAAGGTAAAGTCACCAGGAAGCAGTAAAATCTCATGTCTTATAGACATAAAAAGTGAAGTCAGGACAGCCCTTCAATTCCTAAATGGCTCATATTATAGACACAGATATAGCTTTGGCTACGTGGCCAGTCACAGAGCCTCAAACTGTTCCTTAGTCTATTATTTCTCTGTTGCTTTCTTTTTCAACAAATAGGCCATTTATTTCATGGCTGGGACATTTATTTTTTACTTATTTCTCTGTTGCTTTCAATGAATTCTTCAATTTCTTCCTGATATTCAGGAAACCATCGCCATTGCCATCTACTTGTCTGGGTATTTCTCACCTGTTTGTCAATGGCTGTCAATGTGTAAAAAAACCCATTTCTTTATACACTGCTTCTGGGGTTTTGCCACATGCACTGCCTATATCAGGCCTAATGACATCTGCTACTTGTTTAATGCAGGTGGGGTGAGGAGGAGACAGTCCACAGTCTGGTTTAATATGCACAGGGTTAAATACATCAAAATGCAACTATACAATAACACAATGACAGACCTAATTTCAAATCACAGTGCCTCCATTTACTAATGGCATGATTTTAGCCAAGACACCCAAACTCTCTAAACCTTAGTTTACTCATATGCAAAATGAGTATTAAGTGAGATAATGTATTGAAGTGCTTGGCCCAAGGTTCAATACATGTAGCTTTACTATTAGAATCAATTAGATTTAGATCTGTTTGTGACATTAAAGAAAGAGATGCCCAGGATGATCTCTTTGTTGCTATTCACTGTCCTCATTGTTGAAGCTGAGGTCTTGGGGAGGCAGGAGAAGGTCTGTGTCCTGATGGCATCTTGACAGCTGGCCACAGATGCAGACAGAGCGGGCTTTGGGGGTCTGCCTCCATGCCAACTCCTTGCCCCTCACACATGGGTGACGTTTCTTTTGCATAGCTGAGACAAGGGACCCAAGAAGGAAAAAGGAAGATGATCTGCTAATAGGTAAAGATCAAAGTCTTAGTCATAATACGAAAGAATTTAAGTTGCCCTATATATTAGATCCACCTATATACGCTGTAATGTAAGGTAAGCATGTCAAGCACAGTACTGTTGCATTTGTCCAAAATGACTTGTTTTGCCAGAATCATGTTTTTGCTCTTTTTTCTTTTTCAGAAACTCTTTGGGGAAGGTAATCCAAAACAGAATTAGGATAAAGCTTTTAAAATGGCATGCTGAACTCAAAAACATTATTTGACAGTTTTCTTGAAAACTTACTATCATGGTTAAAGAATTCATTTTTGATCATTTATTAACATTTACCAGCTGTACATTTTAGTATATTTAGTTCAAACAGTCCCAGATATGAGGCTGCTGGTTAAGAGATAACAGGTGAGCCCTGGCTGGTTTGGCTCAGCGGTTAGAGCGTCAGCCTGCGGTCCAGAGAGACCCAGGTTCGGTTCCCGCTAAGGGCGCGTACCTCTGTTGTAGTTTGTCCCCGGCCCTGGTTGGTTGTGCGGGTGGCAGCCACTCGATGTGTCCCTTTCACATCGATGTTTCGCTCTCTCGTCCTCTCTCTCCCTCCCACTCTATCTGAACAAAAAATGGAAAAATGTCCTCGGGTGAGGATAAAAAAAAAAGAGAGATAACAGGTGGAGGTCTGGATAAGACTGGGGATACAAATTTAAATACACTATTACTAATCATTACACATTCCCCGGATCTCTTATGTATTGGCCCACAATTTTCCCACACCCACTGTCACATCCCAACCTGGGTGGTACACTGAGATGGACAGGGACAGTGGCAGCAGCCCAGGAAATAGGCTCCTCCAGGGCAGTTGCTGAGGACACACATGAAGACTCCTCCAATACCTGTAACTTGTGATAAAGTAGGGTGGGGAGTGGCACTGGTCACTTGCTTACTATTGCAATGGCCTCAATAAACCAGAGCACATAAACCTAGGACCCCATGTGTCCATGCAGAAGGTGGCAGCTTATTAACAAATGCCTGCTTCTGGCCATGGCAGGGGAACCAGACACAAAGTGATGGGAGGGATTTTAATGGACTTTGTTTATACCCTTCATAGCACATGATTACACCAAGTCAACAAACCTTTATTATGAATTTCCTTTCTTGAGTGGTCTTCAATGGCTAAAGCAAAGGCTTTAGTGTCACAGTTTATAAACAAAGCTATGGAGCTATTATCTTTGAATGCTGGTCCTGAACAAAGGGCATACAAATGCTGTGTTGAACCTTTTCATGGCTGCTGCTATGGGAAGTGATTGTCACATTGGAGGAAGGCACCAGGAGGGTGATAGCCAGGACCTGACAATGCCTGTCTTATTTTTTCTTTTTGGTTTGGGTAGGAGGGGCTGTGCCAAGTGCCCCACCCCCTCACTGGGCTTTCTCTGCTCTTTCCAATCAATGACCAGCCTATCCCATTCTTTTGACTGTACCCATGTCTACATATAACTCACATACACATACACACAATTAAAGCCCAAATGCAAAGCAATAATAACACATTAAAAAAATTTTTTTTTTATTTTTTGTTAATCCTCACCTGAGGATATTTTCCATTAACTTTTTAGATAGAGTGGAAAGGAGAGGGAGACAGAAACATTGATGAAGACACAAGTAACAGTATGTTACTTGTTCTTTAAGAAATACAATTCTAAAAAATTTTTAGAAAATAAAATTTCAAGCAATAGTTAAAGAGAAAGAAGAAAAAAATATTGCTCTGAGCAGATTATTTTCTTCTTCAAAATATTTATTGCCATTATGTACTTCAACAATTGGGCTTTCTCTACAGCACAAACTGAGCCCACAAAATATACAGATTTTAAATTTGAATTTTCATCCTTTATTCTTTTCTAAAAATTAAGCACTAGGGCTACAGTCACATTTTATTTTTAAAAACAACATATTACTGGTGATCTATCTTTCGAAAAGAATCTTTGAAACAATAGATTAGTGCTGGATCCAGTCAGAATAGTGCTGGATCTGTGTGCCATCTAGTGGCAGTTAGTTTCTTTTCAAGGACACGCAAGAAAAAATAACAAATTAAATAAAAAGTCGGGCAGAAAAATACCTGCTTCAGCCCAAGTTTCCCATGGATCTCTTCCTCGACTTCCCTTTTCCGAGTGTGTGTTTCCTTCCAACTTTCCTGTGAGACACTTCTCATCCCAGAGAGATACTTTTATTTATTTATTAAATTATTATTTATTTATTTTTGTTACAGATGTTTCTCCTTTTTCCCTCACTGACACCCTCCTCCCCCTCCCTCCCTGCCCTGTCCCCAGCTTTGTTGTCCATGTCCATTGGTTATATGTATTAATTTTTTTTTTTTTTATCCTCACCCGAGGATATTTTTCCATTTTTTGTACAGATAGAGAGGGAGGGAGAGAGAGAGAGAAACATCGACGTGAAGGGACACATCGAGTGGCTGCCACCCGCACGACCAACCAGGGCTGGGGACAAACTGCAACCGAAGTACGTGCCCTTAGCGGGAACCGAACCCGGGTCTCTCCGGACCGCAGGCCGACGCTCTAACCGCTGAGCCAAACCGGCCAGGGCTGTATTAATTATTTTTATTAATTTGTTTTTGTTACAGATGTCCCCCCCCCCATTGACACCCTCCTCCCCATCTCCCCCACCCATTCCCCAGCTCTGTTGTCTATGTCCACTGGTTAAGCATACATGCATATACGTTCTGTGGTTTATCTCACCCCCCACCCCATCCCTTCTGGGGTTTGTCAGTCTGTACCCTACCTCTATGTCTCTGGGTCAATTTTGTTCATCAGTTTGTTTAGTTCATTATATTCCACAAATAAATGAGATCATATGATATTTGTCTTTCCCTGCTTGGCTTGTTTCGCTTAGCATAATACTCTCCAGGTCCCTCCATGTCATCTCAAATGATAAGAGATCTTTCTTTCTTTCTTACAGCTGCATAGTATTCCACTGTGTACATGTACCACTGCTTTTTTATCCACTCACTTACTGATGGGTTGTTTCCAGATCTTAGCTATTATAAACAGTGCTGCTATGAACATAGGAGTATATATATTCTTTCTGATTGGGGTTTCAGGCTTCTTGGGGTATATTCCTAGAAGTGGGATCATTGGGTCAAATGGCAGTTCAATTTTTAACTTTTTAAGGTAACACCATAGTGTTTTCCATAGTGGCTGCACCAGTCTGCATTCCCACCAGCAGTGTAGTCGAGTCCCCTTTTCTCCACACCCTCGCCAGCACTTGTTTGATGATTTGTTGATGGCAGCCATTCTGACAGGTGTGAGGTGATACCACCTCATTGTTGTTTTAATTTGCATCTCTCGGATGATTAGTAACATTGAGCATGTTTTCATATGTCTCTTGGCCATTTGAATGTCCTGTTTGGAGAGGTTTCTATTTAGGTCCTCTGCCCATTTTTTGACTGGGTTCTGTGTCTTCCTTTTGTTGAACTGTATGAGTACTCTATATATTTTGGAAATTAATCCCTTATCTGACGCATCATTGGCAATTATGGTCTCCCATAAGGTGGATTCCCCTTCCATTTTGATGATTGTTTCTTTTGCTGTGCAGAAGCTTTTTAGTTTGATGTAGTCCCATGTGTTCATTTTATCTTTTGTTTCTCTTGCCTTAGGTGTGGTATTAGAGAAAATTCTGCTGCATATGTCTGAAATTTTGCTGCCTACATTTTCTTCTAGAATTTTTATGGATTCACGAGTTACATTTAAGTCTTTTATCCATTTTGAGTTTATTCTTGTGTATGGTGTAAGTTGGTGGTCTAGCTTCATTTTTTTTGCAAGT